GTCGGGAAAAATTTGATCACACATAGCTGACCATTTATATTAGAGAAAAGAAAACTCGAAATTATATCCCATTAAAGAGTCGTGTATAATCGGTTTAATCCATTTCGTCATTTTATTGGCAGTTAAAAGAATAATTAAAAGAACTGACTTTCAAGGAGTACATGAAAATGCATCAACTCATTACTCGATAGATTAAACTACTACAGGACGGATTAAGGGCGTTGCTGCATACAGCTAGAAATAAATGGGTTTGTAAGAAAGTACATCGTCGCGTATTCGTTAAATTTATATGAACCTCAAATCCGATTTAGTGACACACACACAAACAAAAATGAAAATATTGTTGGACATTTAAGCTGCGAATAAAAGAGTGGAAAATCGACAGAGAAAGACATGGAAGACAGAAAGAGACAGAGAGGAAAGGGAGAATAAAACAGCAACGTAATATAACACCTCAACGAAGGAAGTTTAAGATCAATAGAAAGAGAGAAATCAGGAACAAAACGAGAGAGGAAATCAGACAAAAAAGAGAATAAGTACACGGAAATAATTTAAAAGAACGAAAATTAAATGTTACAGACTATGCAGAAGCGGCTGTGAGTAAAGCAGTCACCAAATCCTCATAACAACCTGAAGTCACCAAATCCTCATAACAACCTGAAGTCATCAAATCATCATAACTTTAAGTCATCAAGTCCTAATAACCGTAAGTCATCAAAACAACCTTAACTCGTCAAGTTCTCATCACAACATTTAATGAGGTCATCATATCCTAATAACCTTAAGTCATCAAGTCCCCAGAACCGTAAATCATCAAGTCCTCAGAACTGTAAGACATCAAGTCCTCATAACCGTAAGTCATCAAAACAACCTTAACTCATCAAGTCCCCATAACAACCTTAACTCGTCAAGTTCTCATAACAACCTTAAGTCATCAAGTCCTCATAACCGTAAGTCATCATAACAACCTTAACTCGTGAATTTCTCATAAGCGTAAGTCCTCATAACAACCTTAACTCATCAAGTCCTCATAACAACCTTAACTCATCAAGTCCTTATAACAACCTGAAGTCAACAAATCCTCATAACAACATGAAGTCACCAAGTCCTCATAACAACCTGAAGTCAACAAATCCTCATAACAACCTGAAGTCAACAAATCATCATAACAACTTTAACTCACAAGTCCTCATAACAACCTTAACTCACCAAGTCCTCATAACAACCTTAACTCATCAAGTCCTTATAACAACCTTAACTCATCAAGTCCTTATAACAACCTGAAGTCAACAAATCCTCATAACTACCTGAAGTCATCAAATCCTCATAAAAACCTTAACTCATCAAGTCCTTATAACAACCTTAACTCATCGAGTCCTTATAACAACCTGAAGTCAACAAATCCTCATAACAACCTGAAGTCATCAAATCCTCATAAAAGCCTTAAGTCACCAAGTTCTCATAACAACTTTCACTCATCAAGTCCTTATAACACCCTTAGACCAAAACAATACAAGAAACCAAATATGAACTATGATATCATTAGCACATAAGTCTTTAATGTAATTAAGTTCTATTATACACTATGTACACATTCATTATGATACAAAATAAATCTTTTCATAATCATTCTTCATCTTTCCTAAAGTTTGTAACGACAGTCAGAGGTACATGAATTTACTGCTGCAATGAATCGAACAAAAATAATATATCTGCATATATCATAAAAACAGATGCTTTACATAGAGAACATTTCTATTCAGTTTATACATTTCTTTTGACACAAGGAATCATTTATCACACAACTCGTCCTTGTTTTCACGAAGTGACGGTAGTGAGGCAAATCGTAACGCAAAGTGAATGCAATTTTTTTTCACTACCGTCACTTTGTGAAAACAGCAACGAACTGTTATTACCAAGTAGCACAAATATTGTTCCAAACTTTCCGTAAAATATTCTGCACTTCACAAAAATTCATACTTGCATGACAAACGATGAGTTATTTCCCATTCTCAGAATATTAGAGTGGCATAATGCCAATAACTATATAAAATTACTTTTATTGTAAGTTCATTACGATGCATGTACAATGAAATCACACTGCAAGTAACCACACATTTCAGTTAATCAGATTCCATGATAAAGCAGGATATTATAAAACAATTATCCCTTCAAAGCTACAATAAAAGGTAAGCTTAAGATTTCTATAAAAAAACTGCATACTCTAAACTCCACAACATCAGTACACATGTATCCAAAGTCTATATGAATAAACATTCCCCCTGGTCAAACTTATAGGCCCAAATTCACAAAGGAGGTTTGTCGACAAACCTTGGTTTTCGTACGTCATATGACGCATCTTACGCGTTTTTTACAAACCTGGTTTGTAAAGAACAAAAGGAGGTTTGGCGAAACAGAAGGAGGTTTGAGCTCAAACCTTGCTTTGTGAATTCGGGCCTTCATGGTTCAGTTAGACCCAACAAGAGGATTACAGTCAAGACAAACAAAGGTCAAACTTAGACGAGAAGAGACCTTAGTCTAACTTCTCTTGTTAAACTCCACTTATGGCCAAGCTTCAACACAGTGTTGGGTTTAACTGTGAATAAAATATAATAATGAAACATCCATTTACAATAGTGCAGCTACTACTGTGCTTAATACAAAGTTTCATATTATAACCCCAGCTGTAGCTGATCTGCCATAATAAAGTGCTAAGCATTCAAGGAATTTCTTCCAACCGGGTATCCATTTACTTCACCTGGATGGAGAGTGGCAAATGTAGATTAATGTCTTGCCAAAGGACATTAGTGCTGCGACTAGACTCGAACCATGAACCATGTGATCCATAGTCCGATGACATATCCACTAGACCACATCACCTCTATAAAATATATGGACCAATGTCTGAAATATCTATAATTTTTCTACAACTTCTACCTTACTCAATGCCTACTATTCTAATACTACTAGTAACATGTCATATGACTATAACAACTATCTCTTTAACGACTATATCCCTTATTCCATATTACAAATAATCAATGCCTAACATAATAACATTTAAAATGTGACCTCAATCTAATTACATCCGTGTACTGAACATCAGGCAAGAGTGCATTCACTTAAGTGCTAAAAAAATCTTACACTCCAGATCATGAAAGCATACAATATTCATTCTAATGTCATCCATGTTTGCAAAACCTATGTCTACATGTATATCTGTTTTTGTTACACTAATGTGAAGAATATTAATGATTTTATAAAATATCTAAGATCTACTCAAACATCAATGGCAAGTGCATGGATAAAACATCATTTATTTGATTTCCTAAGCATCTATCTCACGTCTCATATCTACAGACTAATTACTACCTATATAAGTGATTTTTAAATGCTTGCTTTCAAAATCAATACAATTGATGATAAATTGGTATAAATACACTTGTGAAGAATGAAGAATAAAACAAAAATGTCATTTACAATGAGTTATAAAATCATAAATAATATTGCTCTAGTGTTAAAATCAGGGAGTCAGTTATACAAAAATTGAAGCGACATAAAAATAAAATCATTTTGGCCAAATAATACAACTTATTGATCTTGAACCAAACAAGAGGATGACAATAATGAAGGAATATAAACACTACTTGAGAAAATCACTAAAACTGGTGAACAATTGCACTTCAAAACATCCCCATTTGACTAAAGAAGCAATACAGCCGTATCAAAGTGTATTGAATTCATAGGGGGAAAAATGTAATACATGTATGTCATAAACACAGACAATTTTAATTTTGTTGTCCTGAAACAAAAGAACTAAACTGATGGATTAACAAAGCAAAATAATTCCATAGAACTCTCTTGGTTACAGAAAGATATTGCTTATTTTGTGTTAATACAGTCTGTTTGGAGGAAGAAGGATATTAACTCCTATAGTATCAACAGATAGCAGGGAGTTAAACCCTTCTCGTTCTGAATAGATGATTTGTTAATTTCATGGCAGATCTGCATTTGCTTTATACTGTTAATTGTGTTTATTTAGATTAGGTTATGAAATATGAAAAGCTTGAATATGCAAAAATCAGTTTAGTTTCTCGAAAAAAAAAAAATATATGAACTCCCAGATATACATATACTAATATATAAGCAAACTGCATGCTTTAATTATCTTGCATTTGCGTAGACCTTGTATAGCTTTGCTCTGAGTAATCACAAAACAAATCATGCTGCTACCAGTGTGGCTGATTCAAGCCTACATGTACATATCAGGATGAAGTAACAAACCGATTTTAGAATACCTATAGTTCATATAATTGCAAAACGATATTAAGTAACATTTTAAAGTAAAATAATGTGCCTTTAATATGGGAGAATACATCGCTACTTCTTAAAGCACAAGATCTCATTATTTATACATAAAAAATGGAAAAGGGAGAAAATGAGTGGAAGATATAATAACTGTGCATCTTATTAAAACGACTCTGTCCAAGGGGTCGCAAAGGGTCACATTTCAAAAGACAGGCATATACCGGTAGAGCTGGAAAAATTGCAATCTCCACATAGCAAAAGTACTTGCCACCTAAATAGGGTCATTACATAGGAATTTGAGGAGATGAGTCACACACCTGTTCAAACTTGGGTCTGATCAGTGTCAATTTGTAGGCGAAGACAGAGAGCTGGGCCCCGTCTTATAAAGAGTTACGATCGATCCAAATCAATCGCAAGTTTGCAGTCTCCTATCTCTTATGTACATAGTTGTGATTGATATCAACCGCAAATAACCTGCGATTGATATCAACTCTTTATCAGACAGCGCCCTGATCGTACCACTGATATTATCGCTAGACCAACTCACATCTCCATGAATGATAAATTGCACAGGGCATTTGAAGAGATTTAAACCTAGTCATCAATGTGTGAGGGTAGATGAAGTTTGAGGAAAGCATCGTCACTCTTAATAATGACTTGTTGCTTGAGTTCCTCATAACAACTCTTACCACTGATATTATCGCTAGACCAACTCACATCTCCATGAATGATAAATTGCACAGGGCATTTGAAGAGATTTAAACCTAGTCATCAATGTGTGAGGGTAGATGAAGTTTGAGGAAAGCATCGTCACTCTTAATAATGACTTGTTGCTTGAGTTCCTCATAACAACTCTTAGCATAGTTGATCTGCTGGGAAACCTAGGAAAAGAGAGATTAGAAAAGAAAAAAAAAGAATGGTTAATAACTGGAAGATCCACAAACTACAAGCACTGATTTTTGGGTGGATCCCTCCATTTCCTCAGAAATTAAGAATTTCTTGTAATAATTGTATTTTAATAATTTATTTATGTGTACAGTGTATTTGTATACTTATCAAGATGAAAATGAATATGTACATATTATATTTGTTCATACTTTTTTGTAGTTATATCTGTAATCCCTTTGTTTATCGTTCCATTGGAAATGAAATAATTACAAATTGAATTGAATATCAAAGATAAATAGATAGTAAAAGAGGGTGATTAAGGTTGACAAATAATGGGGGGAGGGGGGTGGATTCCCACACAGGGAAAGTCCACCGATTATAAGGGGTGATGGGTTCTTCTGAAAAATGAATCAAACAGAAAACTATTTGTCCATTACTGTGTGCCATACATTTTTCAACCATTTGATCTGTTTTACTGAGGTTTGTAAGTTAATGTATTTCTAGTTAAATTCTAGAGATAATGTGTAGTTGCACCCTCAATCTCTCACATCTTAATTTCTTGTTGTGAATTTTTGAAGTATTTTTCTGTGAAGAATCAAATTTAGACAAACTCACTCTAAGCCACTAATTAAAAAAAATAATGAAAAGAGATAAAGTCTGAACCATAAACAAAATACTTCAGCATACAATATTTGATTACTTTATGATCGACATTTGGGTAAATGTATCTCCAGAAAATAAAGAGAGGCAGTAGACATTATATCTCACTCTGAGAATTTCTAGATAGTGGTGCTACCATTTTAATCATGTCAGAGAGGGAATGTAGCTGTTGCGTATTTTGCTAAGTTTACCTCCGACATATTATATACACAAAGCACAGTGTAACCATAGGCAGCAGTTTGAAATGTAATAGCATAAAGACTTATATACGTATATACATGTATGCCGCAGGAAAGGTGCGGTAGTTTACCAGTGGTTTTATAAACGCAGTACACTCCCCATTTTTATATCTATAGCACACAGATATTAAAGTAGGTCCATGTAGGACCTTTGTTGACTTCCTTCATCCCCACTTACCAGACATTCAGTACACAAAAACTGCTATGTAAACTTATGCTGTTTACCATAGCATATGGGAGTGACACTAAAATAATTGTTGACATACCAAAAACTGTCATACTGTCAACCAATTCAAAACTTGTCTTAAAGGGATTGGGTAACTGTGTCTCAGATTCTAAAACAAAATCCTGGATTTAGCTCATGCTGCAATGATATTTATAAACCTTTAGGTCAGTCAGGAACCCCATGACTTTTACCAGCCTATCGCTTGTCTGATTATCAAGTTATTTATGACTGGAAATCAAAATCAAATTTTGCTTTTTCCTAACGGTTTTCATAACACTACGGTCTATTGGGGGAAAACGAGTATGGTAAAACCAGTCATTCAAAGATATTTACTTTTTTGAGGCACTTCATGATCATTTTGAAGCGCAATTATTTTAGGGCTTCAATATTACACCATATCACAGACACTGATAACACGTAGAGCCATACATCTCAGATGTAATATTGTTAAACGATGCCTTTAACCTACTTCCTCCCCACTTGCATGTCATTCAGTATACAAAAACTGCTATGAAACCTATGAGTGAGCCTAAAATAAGGGATAGGACAGGCCTTACCTTCTTGGCGATGCGTTCGTTATCACACCCAACCTTGGGTCTTTCTTTGAGATCCAGACTAGGCGCTGATACACCAGCCTCTGTGTTAGCCACCTTGGTCAGCTCTATGTAATGCTTCCCAGCTGAGAACAAAATCAGATTGATGAAAAAGGCAAAAAATTACAGAATCATGTTCAAATTCAATTCAAAAGACTTTATTTCAATTAAAAACAAACAAATATATGATGTGATTTAGTACAGACAGTTCAAAAAAAATAAATCATAAGCATTAAGTCAATTTAAACAAACTGTGAAAATGAGTAGCAGGAAAAGGGAGCACCTGTAGAATGCTTGTTAGGAATGAAAACTATAGTTTATAAAGAACAGTGTTTCACACATTAACCTGTTTGCATTTGAAGCATCCATCAGTAACACAATGATAGAATACATCCAGTGTATTCAGCTCCTTAAAGTGACTCGGTAACATTGTGGAAGGTTGATGAAAAAAATTGCTTAATTTTTGTATAAAATGTTACTTACTATATTCCTTCTACTATACTAACCCTCTGACATGCAAAAAATCCTGAACAAATTCTCAAACCACAAAGATATCTATGGTTTTCTTTGAAGGCGTCGATGTGAGGCACCCTCTAACAGTGATTAACAGTAAATTCTCCCAACCATTTTTGAATTTTCCCAACCGTTTTTCCATGAGAAAAATACATAAAACAGGCTATAAAAATCTGTCAACACTTAACTGTCTAAAATGGAATGTAGAGCCATTTTATTGCTTTGTGACGATTTACATTCTCTTAAAATGTAATTAAATTGTCCTTGTCTTGATGCTGAACAGGCTTTGACAAGTAGCAGAATAAAAGTAGAATAATATAGTTGGGAGAATTAAGGAATCGATCAGATCAGTTTTTCCCAATTTGTACCATGAATAATGATTCGTTTTCACTCGAATTTTCAGATTATCTTTAATTGTACATCTAGCATTGAAGTCACTACCTTAGCACCACTATCTCTCATCTGAACAATGTTACAAAGTCCCTTTAAGTTAATTGTGACCAAAACATGTTTTGCTCTTGATGTACGCCGTTCCATGTTGCTTCACATTGGTCAAGATATAAACTTCAAATCTGACTCCTATAGAGAGATACCTGTATAGTCTACATGTACAGAAATTAGGTGATTGGTATATTTTAAAGCCTATCTGCACTAGTTTGGCCAGGAGGGATTAGACCTCCCTGCATGGTCACTGCCACGTGGTTATCTCATCAAATCAGCTCTTGATTAACATAAGAAAAAGGGGGTCATGGGGGAATCAATGGTCACCACTTAGGCATTGTTTGCGATATAGAGGGCGCAAGTAGCTAGAAGTAGTGCAGTGGGGCTTTAAGTGATCTCCAAGACGCTGGTGAGCTCTTAGTCCAGATTGTGTTATTTTGTTTCGCGATCTCTCCCATCCCCTACATGCTGCAAGCCACAGATGGTGGAGTGATATCAAGAAATACTGCAAGTTTACATGTTTACAAATTTACATGTTAATAAACTCTTAATTAACATAAAAGTGACTTGTAAGTAGACTATTTAACAGTATGTGCTCACATGGAATACAAATATTATGGCACCCAAGTCTGTCTTGGATTCTGCGTGCTGGGTTTTATGTTACTAGTATTCTATATTTGTTTTTCTCCATACTCTTCACCCACGGGCTGGTAGAACCCCAGGTTGGGATACTTGTGGCTGATTTCATCATACATTCTAGCTGCACACATTTCATTTGTAAGGTGATTGGTAACATTTTGACTAACCACTAATACACAATGCTACAATAAAGTGAGTAGTGCTGTGTTAACTCAACTTATCAGTATCAAGTTAACAATGGGTCAGAAACATGGAAAATACAAGTAGGAAAAATGAGATGACACACATTTTCATGTTCATGAATGCACAGATAAGGATGATATAACTAAAGAGATGATTGGTTCAGAGATGACATTCAAGAACTTGGACATCAAAATGTACCCACTAAAACAATGGTAAAACAATGGTATGACAATGATTGAGATACACCGGCATTCAGCATCCCCTCAGAAACAATTTTCGTGAACCAATGACATTGATGAAATGACAGGACTACTGAAGATGCACATGTATCTTGCAACTCTTGGTTACTTATACCATGAATTGTACAATGTTGAGTTCTGGGGGGTGTTTTACAAAACTTGACATTAGTGACAAATAACAGTTTTTGTTATAAGCTACTGAAATCCTTGCTTCTGATTGGTTTATCAGCAGATTTGTCACTGAGTTTTGTCCTTTATCATTGACAAAAAGCTTTGTGAAACGCCCCCCCCCCCCTGGTCATAATTGAAAATACAATCAAACCTGTCTATTAAGGCCATCCAGGGGAAACAGAAAAACTGGCCACTGTAGACAGGTGGCCTTTCTAATCCAACAAACAATTCACTGCACAATAAACATATTCAGAGCCAGTTTCTACATGTACATGGAAATGCAGTTTAATCACCAGAACTCAAAATATGTTTAACATTTGCAAAGAAATGCTTTACATATTGCATAGTCCTTCTTTTTTTTAATCACCAAAGGTTTAAAACAAGCTAACCAGTATTCAGACATTCAGAAATCATCTGTTGAAAGCAGAAAGGTTGTTAAAGTTCTCTACATGTAATAAAGTAAAACTATTTGAGTTAATGCCCTACTGGCTCTCAACAGCTGAATTGCAAAAGGTAAGTTGCTCCACTTTTCCCATGAAAAAGGCATGGAATTCTTTGATGTGTTAGGAAGAGAGAAGGCTTGGTAGAAGTTGTTTTAGAATGATAAATTCAAAGGCCTTTCTGATTGAAATACGCCAATAAACTAAAGTATGCCTATAATTATTAGCACAATATGAATATTTTAAAATTAAATTGCTTGCAAAAATATAATTCTATAATCAAGTCTTTCTCTATGATGACAAGGCTCAATATGAAAATGAAATCGCCAAAGAAAAAGAGAGTGTTCAATGAGTAACATAGATATGTAAGGCCGAATATATAACACAAACCTTTGTTACGTAGCGTTCCAAACTTCATGTATTTTAAGAAAAGTAAATTAATTGGATCTCAGATGATCTAAAACCACTTGGCAAAATAACCAAATTCAAGGCCCTGACTAACACTGTGTATTACCTTTTGACATTTATAATTTGGTATAGAATCCTAGTTTTGGATACCGAGATGATGCCAAATATGAGATAAAAACATGGACAATATATCAGATTGGAATCTACATTGTACATCTGTCAGAGTCCCTCCTCAATACTGGTTGTTTTTTAATGTAACATATTAACACTGGCTTATTATTGAATTGTACTCATATATTACCCAGTTGCACTGCAGGCTTTCTAAAACTCATCCCAACAAAAGAAAAACTAGACTCCTATCGTGGTGCTCAAAGCATTCAATGACTCCCTTCCAACCAGACACCAACTTCCTACACCCGGGTTACAAGAGGCAACTGTGAATGAAAGGCCTTATCAGAGGACATAACTGTACATCCTATCACTACTGACTTCTCCTAACCCCATAGGCTTCATACAGAGATCACCTGGTTCCTGTAGGCAACGGGTGAAACACTTTTCTACAACAACCTTGAAATAGGAAATGTCACAAGAGAGGCGGACCATGAATTTCTCTTGGTAATAATGATCTGTTTCTATCTATGAAGGTAATGATACATTTATAGTTAAACAGAAAAATTAAAGAAGGATTTTTCAAAAAACAAGGCCAATGAGAGATCACAGATCTTAACAAAAAGTGAACTTAAACCATCATGCTCAATGTTGAAATTAGGATGGAAAATGTACTCCTCCGCAGGCACACCCCTATTCTAGCTAATGGACTGTCCCGCTATTTACCTTCCTGCATAGGCCATGCATGGTGGAACTTGCTATGCCACACATATTGAGAGGGGTGTAGCAAAGAAGTCAAGTGGATGTGCTGGAGTCCCGCCGCATATTGGTAACGAACAGCTGGTACAATTATGTGTAAATGCACAGCATACATGTTTGTTAAAAGTGTCTACTGAAATTGAAGAAGGTTACAATCCTGTGTTCTGACACTCATTCTAACCTCTGTACACTGAAATTGTATTAATTATTAGGTCATTAATTACAAAAAAAGGGTCAGATACCTATTTTTTTTTTGCTTGTTTTTTAATATTTATTATTATTATTATTATTATTATTATTATTATTATTATTATTATTATTATTATCATTATCATCATCATCATCATCATCATCATCATCATCATCATCATCATCATCATCATCATCATCATCATCATCATCATCATCATCATCATCATCATCATCATCATCATCATCATCATCATCATCATTATTATTATTATTATTATTATTATTATTATTATTCTTTTTTTTTTTTTTTTTTTTTTTGGGGGGGGGGCTTGGCATTCACTTTTTATGTGTGCCTTGTAATGAATTTTTTTTTCCTACTGAGGGGGAGGGGCATTTTGACAAAATTTCAGGGGGGGCACCAGAAAAGAAAGCCTAGCTAATGCAATTCAAACCAATAGATTGAGAGAAGAACAAAAATCATTTCTACTCCCAAAATGCACTAAATAAGAGGATGCTGCCATTGCACAGATATACAGTTAGTATGCGAGAGTTGTGATGCATAAAGTTCCACCACAACTTACAGGTGCAATGCAGACCTTGCTTATGACGGGGGTTATCACTCTCAAAGTAAGAAGCTTATGAATAAGAACAAAAAAGGACCCACTTTCAAATAAGTCAATGTTTTAGTTTTTTGCATTCACATCAGAGGTTACCAGTACCACTGCATAAATCAGTTAACTGAAAATTAATCCACCGAACATAATTTTATCCTCTAGAGTATATTGGTGTGAAATGCATGATATGAAAACAGGGTAATCGATATATTTCCTTCACTGCATGATGTGGTATTGTTGAAACAGAGTAACAAAATGGGAAACTTTTAAAATGAAGGGAATAACAATGCATCTCATGAAGGCCAGAGAGGAAAATACATGAATACATGATAAAAAGATTGGGTATCTTTGCCTCAGATTCTTAACAAAATCCAGGATTTACCTCATGCTGCAATCATAATTATAAACCTTTAGCTCAGTCAGGGATCCAATGACTTTCACAAGATATTCATGATTAGAATTAGAAATTTCAAAAACCTTTTCCCAACGGTTTTTATAACACTACATTCTATCACGGAAAATGAGTATGGTAAAACCAGTCACTCAAAGATTTTTACTTTTTTTAGGCACTTCATGATCATTTTGAAACGCAATTTTGTTAGGGCTTCAATATTACACCATATCACAGACACTGAAAACACGTAGGGCCATGCAACTCAGATTTAACATTGTTAAACGATGCCTTTAACACTCACCAAGGTTACTACATGTAAAACAAAATACAGCGTCATGCTCACAGATTCTCATCTTCATAAATGTGATAAAGACAAGATGATCTACCCCTATTACTGAATGGTAGAGTCTGGTTCTTACCTTGTAGTATATGTTTAGCATGGAAGAGCTCAGAATGGAACACACTAAGAACAGGTTCCTGAAGGTTTGTGAGGGACAAGAAGTAGGTGCATTCACTGGTGATCAGGACCTGCATGCCGTCTAATGGATGGTTCCGTAACTCGTCCATCATGAAGTATCTGATATAAAATGTTATTTGTTAATATATTAGGGGAGTGTTTCACAAAGACTAAGATCAACTTCAAGTTGGACTTAACTATGGCAGGCACTGTTTGCTCTCACCATTATGATCTTTAGATAGTATTTTTTCCTTCAATAATGAATTATCAATTTTTTGTTTTAGTTTTACCCTTTGATTTATTCTTGAAAATATTATCATAAATTCTTGTGCTAAATCAAACAGCTGTTTGATGCTTTTTTTGCAGCTGCTGGAGATGCCCAGATCTAAAGGCAGAATGGCAAGGAAACATTTAAAAACAAATGGCTAGAAAATTACTAGTGTATACGTCTAGAATGACAAAGGCCTGTTGTCCCTCCCTATGGTATGCAGATACCTGAATTTTCCACATTGACCATTTTTCTTTTTGCTGCATGAAATTAAAAAAAAAATGTATAGTGCAAAAGGTTTTCTTAGCATGCTCGTAAACTCACCTTTCTCCACTAGTGCCTTCACAGAGCACACTAACAAACTCCATGCCCCTGGAGTCGTGTAATGAGTACCTAGCAAGCACCCCTGAGGGACTCCTACAGCACCGTGGTGGTCTGACCCTAGGGGGCATTAGGTGGCTCTCACTGGTGGTGGAGCTACGGATGGCATTCATGGTACCCGAGGCGAGGTCAAACAGACCGGCAGCAGGCTTGGTGACGGTACCCATGATGCCACGCCCTATCCCCTTCATAAGTCCCTGAGGAGGGGAAAAAAAAAGAAGATACTGATAATTTTTATGTAGATGCTGCTTATAAGTATCGGCTTGCATGGTGATGTAGATATACAGTAGGCTTGCTGTTGCACCATGTGAGAGAGGGGGAGAAAGATAACCAACAGTCTTTTTCAAGACTATACCAACAGTCCTTTTCAGGACTCCCCAATCCTCCCCCTCTCTCACATGGTGCAACCGCAAGCCTACGGTAAATCTTGATGTAGGATGATTATTTTTTTATTTTTTTTTGAGAATTAAATTTTACAACATCTGATACACAAGTGCAGGCATTGTATCTCAAATCACTCTGTTTAATGACAGACCTTATACTACAAATCAGTATGTAGAAGATAATATTATTGATAACATTGAAAGGAAGGTATTCCCAAACACATGCTAACAGAACATACACTTTTGGCTTGGTCCTATATGCCACAATAATTTGTGGCAGTTTATGCACATACACTTAGGTGTACTGGACTTCACATTTTTGTATTTCATAAATAGTCAAGTTTTAAATTCAACTTTTAATTGTAATATTTCTCAATGAACTTCCAAACAGTATTATATACATATAAGTTTTGAGTAGACTGAATCAATCCCATGTTACAATAGACCTTTGAAGTCTAAATGTAGGGTTTGATATACAGAATACATGTATATCCAGGCCTCTTTAATAGAGACACCCAATGTGTTTGTTTCTTCAAAATGCAAGATAAAATCGCGATCATATGCGATATTGCTTTGTGAAAAGTTTGCACTGAGGATCAAGCATCTTATAAGGGTACGAACACATCTGGAGAATATCCTTGTCTTTGGTTCAGAGATGGCAGATACTTAAAGGCATCGTTTAAATCTGAGATGCATAGCCCTACGTGTTACCAGTGTCTGTGATATGGTGTAATATTAAAGCCCTAAAAAATTTGCGGTTCAAAATGATTATGAAGTGCCTCAAAAAAGTAAAAATCTTTGAGTGACCAGTTTCACCATACTTATTTTCCTCAATAGACTGTAGTGTTATAAAAACCGTTAGGAAAACGAAAATTGTTGATTTCCAATCATAAATATCTTGATAATCAGACAGGCGATCGGCTTGTAAAAATCATGGGGTCCTGACTGAGCATGAGCTAAATCCAGGAGTTGGTTTCAGAATCACAGACAAAGATACCCAAACCCTTTAAATACACTGTACTTGGCATATACAATAATTTGACCGGCATAGCCTCTTGCACTCACCTCAACCCCATCCTCTGAAGCTCCTTTGTAGGTCTGAGTGAACATACTGGTCAAGCCACCGACCACTCCAAACGCAAACCCCTTGACCCCTGCAGACAGATGACCGGAGCTGGTTCCACCGTGCGTCTCTCGGATCACGCTTCTCATCTCCTGATGACGGTTGTCAAAGGTTGCCGTCCCGATCCCGTCAGAGATGGTTCCCGTCACCTGTGGAATTGAAATATGCAGCCCACTTTTATTCTAATTGCTCTTCAGCAAAACATCTTCATGAAGCGATATTTACGGTCACTACCTTGACAGGATGTTCGCTTCATTCAGTTTTATTATATGTACAAATGTATATCTACTTTCATTCATTTTCATTCATTTTTATTTTTCATTTCCAACAAAATACAATACATAATAACGAATACAATGTAAAATGTATACAAAACATATTTACATTTGTAATAAACAAATCTTTAGAGTAATTTATACATTTAAGGTAGACAAAAATTGAGTTAAAAATTTAACTGGATTTATATTTTGAGGAAATGAAGAGGTCCACTGAAAAGCAGAGCTTGTAAATTGTGGACCAATCATACTGTAATAAACAAGTATGGTAATCCTTTTTGTGGTTTACATGTATGTGATCTAAACTGTCTACATGTAAAACTTCGCTAAGAACTGCTGCCTTTTTTTCATGAAATTCAGAATAGTTTAATGTGCATGCTGATACCATGGACTAATTTCATTTTCATAAAGCCCAAAAATGCAAAAATAAAAATAAATATTGAAGACTTGCTCAATGAATCTATATGTACTTCAAATGTTTGTAAACTTTGCGGCACTTGATTGAGGAGAGCAAACTTTCTTTTAGTACACATATTATACGAATGCATTGTAGAGTTGTTGTGGTCTAGTAGATGAGCCACCCAACTGCAAATCACAAGGTACGGAGTTCAAGTCCCACCACGGCACTAATGTACTTTGGCAAGACGTTAATCTACATTTGCCACTCTCCACTCAGGTGTTAAATAGCTACCCGGTAGGATGCGAAAGTTTATGTGGTTGGATTAACAAGTGGGGCTTGTAAAATGGTGACTGGTGGAATGCTCCCCAGAGAGTGGAGAATGTGCATACATTGTTTAGGGAAAGCCTGAATCCGATGACCGGGGTAATAATCATGTACTGCGCCTAGAAACAAAGTATTAGGTGCATTATAAATGTGAGCTATTATTATTATTATAATAGTTTACTGGGATAAAGTCTTGTATGATGACAATATACCTTTGCAGCTGTGTTTGACATGCCATGGGTCACGTTCTTGACTAGACCCGTCACACTCCCTTCTAAGACCAGTTCCTTCAGACCATCCTTAAAGTCCTGGAGCAGACCGATGGGGTTACCCAAGAAGTCCACAGAACCTAGGATCTTCACTGCTTGACTCTTTAGCTCCTGGGGGAGAGAATTTTGATCAAAAAGGAGAGTAACAAAAAAGAAAAATAAATCCATCTGAGACCATGTTACAGTGTTTAACACTACAGGGGGATGTTTCATAAAGATCCTTAGTTGAACTTATCTCTAAGTTTGACTGAACAATTATGGAAAACTGTTAGCATCTATGAAAATATTTTGTAAAAGTTATTTCAAAAGGCATAAAATGTTGATTAAAATCATTCATATTTTCTTTTACCAAGGAGATTTTATGTTCTTGATGTGGAATTTATGAAAAGTCTACAATACTTGAATTTTTGCTTACGAATATATTTCATTTCAAGGCTACAAACGGCTCTCCAAAATGTTCAAACCCAACTTAGTATTAAGTTTGACTTAGGATCTTTATGAAACACCCCCGAGGGCATAAATTCCATAAAAAATATCAGCTACATGTTTATAGCACCAGGCCTATCAGATAAAGAACATCAATAAAAGTCCGCTCGGAGCTACAAAGAACATTGTTGGTTTTGAAATGTTCAAAGGAAATTATTCAAAAAATGCAGATAATTTAATCAAAAATTTCGCTAAATTCTACATTAAGGATCTATCGATACGAACGGAAAATTTACATGTCAATCATACAGCACAAATATTCTAGAAATATCATACAGGAGAACTAAAGAACAAAATGCTACAGTCTTGCAAACGCACCTTTGAGCAGTGCTTACAAATGGTCAAAAGTAAATGTCATAGCACCATATTCTCCACTAAGCGCAGGGCTAACAAATATCCAAGGTAAAAAAGGTAAAAAAATTGCCCCACACACCCACCTCTGTGTAGTGTTTGGCAACTGATTCCAAGAGAAACTCCTGCGTCTCGAAGGGATGTTGCCTTGTGAAGGGATCCAAGGAGACGGGAGCTTCTTCAAACTGGATCAAGAAGAGCCTCATGCTTGTCTTGAGCTGATTGAGGTCCTTGGGGATCTTGGTAGAGGTGTACATGCTAAGACGGAAGTCCTTGGCATGGATCTTCAGGGTCTCAAAGAAGAACCGCTTCGTAGGCTGGTTGTTGTCTCTGGGACTGCAAGGAGAGGAATAAAAAAGACCCTACTGATCAACACTGTCTTTCTATCAGTATACCTTCTGCAAGAACAATGTACTATACAAGCCAATATTTTCGCAAATAAAATGTTCAAGGACGAATTTGCGAGTTGTTAAATTTGTGAGGGCATACGGCAATTACTAACATAAATATTGATAATGGAGATATATCTAATAGATGATGATGATGACTATTTTTGTTGATGACAACGATGATGTTGGTAATGAAAATCAGTAATGGTGACAAACCTGATGGTATCATAGTGCGTCTCATCCGTCGTTTCCGTGGTGATATCTGGTTGAGAGAATCCACTCATTTGAAGCAGCTTGAGAAGCAGAAGTTCTTCTACATTCAGTGTCATCTTACTCACTGTCAGGACCAATCTCTGAAGTTCACAAAGAGATAATCAATCATTAATATCTGATCTATATTACTCTCTGTCTATCTGTCAGCCTCTCTCTACCTTTCTCTGTCTGTCTGTCTGTCTACCTGTCTCTTTCTCTGTATGTCTGGCTCTCTCTCTCTCTCTGTCTGTCTGTCTCTCTCTATTTGTCTGTCTCTCTGTCTGTCTCTCTCTCTGTCTGTCTCTGTATGTCTGTCTGTCTGTCTCTCTCTCTCTCTCTGTCTGTCTGTCTGTCTCTCTCTCTGTCTCTGTATGTCTGTCTGTCTATCTGTGTGTCTCTCTGTATGTCTGTCTGTCTGACTGTCTCTCTCTCTCTCTGTCTGTCTCTGTATGTATGTCTGTCTGTCTGTCTCTCTTTATGTCTGCCTGTATTTCTGTCTCTCTGTTTGTCTCTGTATGTCTGTCTGTATGTCTGTCTGTCTCTCTCTCTCTCTCTCTCTCTCTCTCTGTATCTGTATGTCTGTCTCTCTCTCTCTCTGTATGTCTGTCTCTCTCTCTCTCTGTGTCTGTCTCAGCCTACACATCTCACCAATGTACATGTAGCCTCCCACACTCACCGATGCATAGTGCTTGCCATCACTGTCTTCCCTACATCTTTGTTTCTCCTTCTCCATGCCCCATACATGTACATGTACTTCAGCACAACCAGCAACCTTTTTTACATGAAATTTTACCACTTGCTAACAATGAGAATTTTAAGGCAAGAAAATGCTGTAAATTGCACAAAGAAAGAAACAAATAGTTTTGTGTGTCTTCATTCAAACCGTCTGCGGAATGATGTTTTCTCGAATCAGGATCATTTTCTAAATCTGTGAAAGTTTCTAACATGCAAAATGTTCCGGTCTGAGAATAACTTACACCTATCACTTCTCGCACCTCAATCTCTAAAACGTTACTACGTATGTTGCAACATCAAGTCATCCAGGGCATGTATGTAGAGTGAATAAAGGACATCCTAATTATTTTGTATTATATTCCACATACAAAGAATCTTGAGCTACGATTGGTCAAAAGTAAAATCATATGATGAAAGAACGTTCGCCCATCATTGATGGGAGAAGAAAAGTTCATTGCACTGTGTTCACTGAAGATTGTCTATGTTGCGTAATATACATACGACTGTACATAAGTACCACATGCACTGTACGTGCAGTACACGTATCGTACACCGTTTGCTACATGTAGCTGTTAATTAATGACTTGTTGCTCTAAAATGACGGAAGAAGTGAAATGTTTCCAATGTGGAATATAAAACAAATAATCACCTTTTGGTTTCAGGCAATGGCAAACTATCACTTCCTCGGTGATCTGAATGTATACGCTTCGCTTCGGAAAGATAGCTACATCCAGATCGCCTCGGAAGTGATAGTCTGTCCTATCACCTTCACCAACGGTAATTATTTGTTACTATCTACATGTATTTGGCAAGAGACTGCTGTTTAATACCTTGTAGATTTCCACTGTTGGGGAACCCCCTAGCTGCTTGGTAGCTACTAGGCTGAGAGCTGGCCGACCTTCTTTGTCTGAGGCAAATAACATGACTGGTTTCTGAGCTTGAGCAAGCTGGTTGTCAATCTTAAATGGAAAGCAAAATGTATCAAGAATAGGGATTGTTATCTTGATACAATATTATCACATTTAGTGATAGACTCTTTATAACTGAACACCAACATCACCACTTCAATTTCTCTTGTCATCAGTAACATCAACATTATGATCTTCATCATCATCCTCTTCATCATCATCTACACCACTTCCACTTTCAACAACAACACTACCACCACCAAAAGCAACATCACTATCATCATCACCATCACCATCCTCATCACTAACTTCACTGTCATCAGCATTATCATCACCATCAACTTCATTATCACCACCACCACCACCATCATCATCATCATATCATCATCATCATCATCATCATCATCTAAGCAACAGCAGCATCATGATCATCATCATCATTTCCGTTGTCGTCATCACAACCACCATCACCATTATCATTATTATCACTACCACCACCACTATCATGATCAACATCACCACCACCACCACCAACCATCATCATTTCCATTGTCGTCATCACCGCCACCACCTTTATCATTATTATCACTACCACCACCACCATCATGATCAACACCACCACCACCACAATCACCACCATCATCATCACCAACATCATCATCACCACCATCAAACTCACCTGAATTTTACAGACGCTGGCATTGAGATCGACCTCCTTGCTCGTCTGTATGTAATGGACATCAATGCCAGTCAGGGTAATATAAGCCAACTCCTCAGGAGCTCTGTTCACTAGAGACAGACCAACCCCTTCCTTCAACCATAGGGCAATCTACAACATAGAAAGAAATAGAAAATAGAATTAGCCAAAATTTGTACAACTTAGTTTCAATACACAGGAAATTATTATAGAATATATCTGACAAAATGTTAGTCTTACTTTGCTCTCATGGCATTTGAGTTTTACAACAACATATAAATGAATACTACATGTAGGTATAGGTAATGGATAATAAGATGTAACAATTATTATTTGTTTTGTTTTTCATTCCACCCACAGTTGTATTGATAATTCATTGAAAAGATAAATTAACATTAAAATTTCTCATTTTAATTAAATTAAAAATTTGAGAAAAAAATTGCAATTCTTGTTAATGAAACAAAATTTCTTCTTTACCTCTAGCTCTTTGCCCTTCTTGGAAGTGCCGCCCTGTTGATTCTGGCTCTCTGCTGTGACCTTTGACATCCGAGCTTTGACTTCTACCATCTCAAACTCATCTACGGAAGAGCCTGGGATGACGCTGGCTGGTTTCTGGGGTGCAGACTGTGACAAACATAATCAAGTTTAGCAGTGCATATCAAGGAGAACAAGGAATGAATTACATGCAAGACAGCCACATCATGTACATATTTCATATAACAGTCTGTTCCAGCCACTAAAATTGGACACCTAAACAAACACAACTACCAACCTGTTGGGTGTTGTCATTGATGTGCAGGGATCTGGTTGGTCCAGAAGTAATGACCTTGGCACTGAAGTTGCTTGATCCTGATCTGAAGTTTTAGAAACATTTTTCCAAGCCGTTCAAATATGTCAACAAGCAACACTTTTTACCAGTTGGATGTTGGCATTTCTGTACAGGACTCTGGTTTAATAGTCCAGCAGTAATGGCCTGGGCACTGGATTTGCCTGACCCTAATTTACAGAAACATTCTGTCCTGCCTACTCAAACATGAAAACTCTACAAACAACTAACAACCTATTGGATGTTGTCATTGATGAACAGGGCTCTTGTTGGTCGATCAGAAATTACCTTGATGCTTGTCCAAGTTGTTTTTACTCAAACATCTGGGGAGTGTTTCACAAAGACTAAGATAGACTTTAAGTTGGACTTAACTATGGCAGGCTGTTCATGCCGCTGTTTGCTCTCACCATTTTCTGGTATTGGTCTCTCAAGGGACGTACAAATCGTGCTCATAAATCTACAGAATGTACCTTTTTTGATAGTTCATTATTGAAGGAAAAAATATTATCTAAAGATCAGAATTGAGAGACCAATAGTGAGAGCAACCAGTGGCATAAATGGCCTGCCATAGTTAAGTCCAACTTTAAGTTAATTTTAGCTTTTGTGAAACACTCCCAGAACTCTATGTACACATCTACACCTACAGTAGTTTAATACCTGCTGAATGTTGTCACTGATGTAGAGGACTCTTGTTGGTCCATCCGCTACGACCTGGACAGCGAGGTTGCCTGATCCTGGAAGGTTCTTCTGTCTGGTGATGACCTGCTCTAGAGGTATCTCATCCTGCGAAACATCCAGTCTGCCACCGGCTATCAGGATTAGCTCACTCCCTGAGGATACAAAAAATATATTGTAAGAAAGGGTAATTATTCTGTCTGGGCCCTCTTGCATAAAGAGTTGCATTTAAAAGCAAACGCAAGTCGTGAAAATCAAACCATGTTTGCGTTTGAATGCAGCTCCATCGCATAAACAGTTGTGTTTGATTTCAAACGCAACTTTCAAGCGCAACTTTATGATAGATATATGACCAAACGCAAAGTTGCATTTGTTTTCAATCGCAACTCTTAATATACAATGTGCAGTTGCATTTGATTGCAAGTTGTGTATAATATTTGCGTTTGATCTGAGATGCGATCAATCGCAACTTGACTTTTATGCAAAAGGGCCCTAGAGTCTCCTAAAATATTACAGGTAAATGATACAAGAATACAATAAAATTTTAGATTAGATCAGATACAAATAAAAGGGCATTCTTTTGTATCTTGGTGATCTGTTCTAAAGGAATCTTATCTTGAGAGACATCCAGTCTGCCACTAGCTATCAGGATTAGCCCACTCCCTGGGGATACATTGAGAATATTACATTAAAAGATTGTTCTTCTGACTAGTGATGACCTGTTCTAGAGGTACATGTATCTCATTCTGGGAGACAAATCATATAATTTTATTTCCATTAATGTCCATACTGTGCATCCATTACCCTTGGAATAATAGCAGGGTAAAAGTTGCCTTTAAAGCCACACTGTCCTACTGGTAGCTACTTGATCCCTCTATATATAAAACAATGCCTAATACCTAAAAAGAGGATCATGAGGGGGGGGGGGGGCCAATGATCCTCTTTTTCTTATGTTAATTGAGAGCTGACTTGATGAGATAACCACCAGTCCAGTGACCTTGCAGGGTGATCTAATCCCTCCTGTAAACTAGTACAGATAAGCTTTAAAAAAAAACATATTGAAGTCTGTAGAAAACGTCACATACATGTACATGATGAAGGATGAAGGGATGAAGGCAGAGAAAGAACAAGAAGGAGAAAGGAACAGAAGAACCAACGTTACACTGACCTTCCTTGAGGCTGAGTAGACCAAACTTTGGCTGAACGACATAATTACTGTCTTGACACCTCAGTCGCCCATCCTGCAATAAATGAAATCAGTGGAAACTCTTTATCAATGTAAATTACATATTGTTTAGGCAATGAATGTATAAAATATATCCCTCTTATACTTTTTTGTTCCAAATGATGTGACAAAAAATACACAGAGTGTGTATAGAGAGGCAGGTTAATATCGTTTTTGTAATAATGTTGTGCTTATCTATGCATGCTCATGTAGCTAATGCCAATCTGATTTTACAGTATATCAATGCGGAAAGATAATCCCAGTGGAATATACAAGTTTACACTTTGGGTGAAATAATGTTTTTTGAAATAAACAATGACAAGGTTTAATAGAGCAGCATTGCTAAATGAGAAAACCATGAAACAGTCTTTTTTTATAATGTCCTTTCAATATTAAAGGCCATCTGTACTAGTGTGAACAGGAAGGATTAGGCCACCCAGCAAGGTCACTGACAAGTGGCTATCTCATCAACTCAGCTCTCAATTAACAAAAGAAAAAGAGGATCATGGGGGACTAACAGGCCCCGATTAGGCATTGTTTTCTATATAGAGGGAGCAAGTAGCTACAAGTAGTACAGGGGGGCTTTAAACCAAGTGGAAACAACAATACCTTGCCAAAGTACCACGTCTGTGTGTTCTGTCTCGCCTCATCCGGTCTTCTTAGCTTCAAGATCATCTCATCTCTGGACGTGAACTGACCGTTGCTGATGTCCAGGACCAGACCATTCTTAGTCAGACTGCTCCTCCTCTGACCGGGATCCCTGGGGGCAGCAAACGCTTCGTTCTGAAGCAGACCGGTCGACGTCATGCGCCATAGCTGACTCCTCTTCCCAGGCTCCTGTAAGGCACATCAGATATTACCAAAAGAGTTTAAGGTTGTCCTACATTTTGCCTTGTGTTTATGATATTCAAAGTAAAATGAAATGAAATGAAATAAAAATACAATAAATACAATTCCTGGAATGCTTCCAGTGTCTCTAGGCAGCTTTGCTAAACCAAGAGTAATACAAGTACTTTGTAAGGTTCAGGGATGCCAGTCAGTTTTACTCACTGGGCCTGAAAAAACCAGAACACGTTAAAGCCCATTATGTGCTGTACAATATAAAATAATAATAATAATAATAATAATAATAATAATAATAGCCTAATAGTCCACTCCAAATTTTATTAAACCGAAACGGAAATTCTTTTTGCCCAATTGATCGTGAGCCCGGCAGCCACTGAGCAGCGCCAGATCGACGTTGCTCTATCCCTTACTGTTGAACGCCTAACAAGGTAGCAACAACTCCCGTCTTTTGGTATGACGTGGCCAGGGTTCGAACCCACGACCTCCCGGTTGTGCGGCGGACGCTCTACTGACTGAGCCAACACTCCGGTACCTGAAAAAGCCTGAAACGGGAAGTTGTCAGGGCCTGAATTCAGGCAAAAACCTGAAGAATGGCATCTCTGAAGGTAATTGCTATTATCTCATCAAAATAAAACTATGATGCTCACCTTCTTGCGTAGGACGACTGGTGAATCGGCATGAGGGACATCCAAGACAAGCTGAGCCGAGGACCAGAAGTTCTTGTTAGATGATGACTCTCCAAATGACTGTAGACTTGAAGCTCTGCAGGGGGAAAAAGTGTTTGTTTTAATTTTTGCTGGTGTTATTTCCCATACAAGTCCAATGTAAATCAGTCCTTGGACTTTAAATAGGGATAGTTTTGTTTTTTAACAGTCTCAAATCCCTTTAGGGAATTATTTTTATAGCTTAGTATAATGATGTCAAAATAATTGCTTTTCTATTTGGAAATTTCTCTCATAGAAGTGTTATTACTTGTGACTCTTTAGTAAAAAATAACAATAATAAAAACAATACTTATAAAGTACTTTCCACCAAAGTCTCTAGGCGCTTACTATTTTTTAGTTTTAAAGTTTTAAAGGTGGGGTCAATAGCAATGCAGATCAAATGTCCATAACAAAAACAAAAGCAGCTTTCCCATTCAAGTTTGTCTAGATTATAGACAATGTTGGATCCGCCTTTATACCCCTAATCATAATAACTTACCCTCCTTTCTTAGCCCTCATACCGGTATCATTACCCCTCCCTAATACCACTTTCAATACAATTTACCCTTTGAATGTGGAGTCCATAGCAATGTAGATGAAGATTTTATAGTAGAGATGGTTACCATCTTCAAGCTTGTCTAGGTTATCCTCCTCTCTAATACCCCTAATCATTATCACTTACCCTCCTTGCCCATCCCTCATACCGGTATCATTACCCCTCTCTAATACCACAAGCAATATAATTTACCCTTTGAATGTGGAGTCCATCGCAATGTAGATGAAGTTCTCATAGTAGAGATGGTTACCATCTTCAAGCTTGTCTAAGTTATAGACACTGCTAGAGCCTCCTTTCACTTCACACACCATGAGAGGGGGGAGAATCGGCTCATCCCATGCATACGGAACTGAGAATTAAAGAGAAGATAGGTATAGCACATTTAACGAATAGTAATGAAGAGAGACTTATGGGGCGTTGCAAGAAAGTTGCAATTGATTGCAAGTTGCAAAATTTGCAACTGATATTTACAATCAATTGCAACTCAACTTTCTTGCAACGCCTAACTAGTCTCCTAAATTTCCTAGGATTTTGTTAGGATTAAGTTTTAACAATGGCATTAAGTTAACTAGATCTAGCTTTTATTCTCCTCTTTTCTCTCTCTCCCTCTCTATCCCTGTCTTACTAATGGCAAGAAATTGGAGTTGCAATCAATTGCAAATTTGCAATTAATTGCAAGACTTACGCTTGATTTTGGGGATTTGCTATTGATTGCAACTTTCTTGCAACGCCCCATTGGAGAAGCTTTTTTATTAAATGACTGGCTTCCCTATATTTTGGTCAAATACTAGTTATTCTTGGTGGAGAATATATTAAAAGGGAATTCTTTGATTATGGGAACCCCCCCCCCCCTTCTCTGTTTATTGATCAAATACTTATTCTTGGTGGAGAAGATATTGAAAGGGAAATTGTTGATCATTGATTAAAATAATACACAACTATGAAAAGGTTTTCTGAAACGGGTGAATCTTTAGAGTATTTTTTAGAGGACTGCCATTTACTGTACCTGACATCTTTGGTCTTAGCATTGTCCCAAGTGTTGGGTCTTCACCCCAAATTTGTTGATCATGGATTAAAATAATACACAACTATGAAAAGGTTTTCTGAAACAGGTGAATCTTTGAAATATTTTTAGAGAACTGCCATTTACCTGACATCTTTGGTCTTAGCATTGTCCTTAGTGTTGGGTCTGTCACTCCTCGCTGGTAGTAGATGATATCAACCTGATTAAAAAAAAAAAACAGAAAAAAATTCTAATTCACTTCCCAGATCTACTCATTAACATAATGAAAGAAAAGAAACAGTAATTCAATAGTTCAATGCATTACTTAATGAATTATCAACAAATGTCAATTTCTATAGATTTGTGACCGTGATATGTACGTCCCTTGAGAGACAAATGCCAGTAAATGGTGAGAACAAACAGTGGCATGAATGGCCTGCAAAAATCGATCTTAGTCTTTGAAACACCCCCCAGATCATACAGATTCTGGTCAGTTCAAGAAAATGAAAGAATCATGCTTCCTCTGCCCATAGCTATCCCTAGGAGGGATTACCGTAGCCCAGACTACGTAGAAGTATGTTAAAATGCCTTCAACTAAATTAAAGTAAGTTAAAGTACAGCCAACAATTTTTCTGCATGAATTAAGACACGGAGAAGTAAATGTATGTTAAAGTACAGTAAAGGATGGTGAACTAGGTTGAAGTAAGTTGAAAAACGTGTAACTACGTTCAAATAAGTTACTGCTACCTCAATAAAAATGCCAGATACTGCTATCTTTTGATCATGCCCAACAGATAAACCTCTGCGCACGATTTTCTCACATGAATGGCCAAGTTATTTCTACAGATAACCACGGATGGTCACAGATAGCTACGGTGCGCCATGTTAAGCTATGCTAAGCTACGGAGGTTTCCACTACGCTTAACTACGTTACTTCACGTATGTGTGATCACCCATTAAAGCCCGTCTGCACTAGGTTGGCCAGAGGGGATTAGACCTCCCTGCTAGGTCACTGACAGGTTGTTTTCTCATCAAATCAGCTCTCAATTAACATAAGAAAAAGATGATCATGGGGGACCAACAGCCACCGATTATGCATTGTTTGCTATATAGTTGGCGCAAGAAGTGCAGTGGGGCTTTAAGCAGAGGATATAACAATGGAAGAACAGTACTGACCTCTGACATGTTGTCTATCCTGTAAGGCGGAGGTAGATCTGTTGTATCAGTGAAGATCACATAGAATGTAGCTCCTCTAAGGCGTACCTCGACATGGACAATGTTTGTCTGGTTGTTGTTACTCCTGACAATGATATAAAGATATGTGTACATCAGGGCGCCATCTTACAAAGAGTTGCAATTGATCCAAATAAATCGCAAGTCCTCCAATCAATCGCAAGTTTGCAGTCTCCTACCTCTTATGTACATAGTTGTGATTGATATCAACTCTTTGTAAGACTGGACCAGCAATAATCATCCTGAGGCATATTGAAATACCTGTACTTTGATTATTACACAATCAAATTAATTAATTAATTGGATTTGTTATGATACAAAGCAGTCCAAGACTAGTTATTACACCTGGGCCTCATCACATAAAGAGTTGTGATTGACCCAAATCAACATAAAGTCCTCAAAGTCCTCAAATCAATCGCAAGTTTGCAGGCCCCTATCTCTTGTGTATATAGTTGCCATTGACATCAATCGCAAATAAATTGCAATTAATCGCAACTGTTTATAAGACACGGCCCTGGTCTAACTTACCTCATAATAATAATAGCCCATAACTAGAAATAACAATTTCTTGTAATAATTTATTTTAATCATTTATTTACATGTATGTGTACAGTGTATTAGTATACTTATCAAGATAAAAATGAATATTTTCTGTAATATTATCTGTAATGCATTTGTTTATCCTTCTGTTGAATATGAAATAAATATACAAATTGAATTGAATTGAATCACAATATTGCTTCAAGGTCATAGTATTCCTATCATGACCTTGCATCAGAATAAAAGTAATCTAAGTCTAAAAAGTGTCCAAGACCAGTTTATTAGTGCGAGTCTACATGTACAGTGTACCTTACCTCATGTTAATGTTGAGAGATCCTGGCTGGTCTATGCGTATTCCACCGGACCATCGACAACCCTCAAGGTCATGCATACGAACACACAGCAGTCTGTCAAGGTCATCACGCGGCCAGTGAAATATGACCTTTGACCCAGATGTAATGGCAAGATGATTCCTGGGATTCTTGGGTCCCTGTCATGTGAAAATGACATTAAAAATTTTAAAAATAAAGACACAAAAAAAGCATAGATCTAGAATGTTCATACAATCTGTAATAAATACAAAAACTGATAAGCTGAAACAAATAATATGCTATCTAAATGCTTGTACAAAGTGAAAGTTACATTTTGTATTAATTCCCTTAATTTGCTGCTGCACATAAAATACAATCATCTACTGGTTCAGTATTACTTTCTCTCTTTCTGGTCTGCATTTTAAACCACTTTCTTTATTTATTATTATTATTATTTTTTTTTTGGTTTAATTTACCTGACTGCTAAAAATCATGTATTTAAAGTAAGTAACCAGGGGACTGATGGCTTAAAGTCATCTCCAAGAGACTTGGTAATGAGGATTAATGCCTTACCAAAGCACACTAGCTCATCAGCTTGGTTTCGAACCCAGGACCTCTCGCTTACGAGACCACTGCTGTACCACTGAGCCATCAGGCCTCCTTGACTTTAAAGGCCAAGTCCACTCCAAAAATAACTTACTTAAAATAGAAGCAGAAAAATCAGACAAACCAATCAAAAAAAGTTTGAGCAAAATTGGATAACTAATAAGGAAGTTATGGATTTTGCTCAAACTTTTTTTGATTGGTTTGTCTGATTTTTCTGTTTCTATTTTAAGTAGGTTATTTTTGGAGTGAACTTGGCCTTTAAACGATTTCTTCCTCTGCTCCCTTCCCTTCCATTCCCCCCTCCCCCTCTTATCTCTCCACCTCCCAAACTTACAATGCCTGTAGTGAGATGTCGCTGAGCAAAGGCAAGGTGATGAGAGGAGCGGTTCTCCAGCTGGAAGCGAGGTACGAAGGTCACAATCTTGGTTTCATGATAGCGCCCCCTACCTGGCCGAACATCAATACCGATGTTGTAGACTCTGTAAAAGAACAAAATACAAGGTGACTCGGTAGCATTGTCTCAAATTCTGAAACAAAATCCTGGATTTAGCTCATGCTGCAATGATAACTATAAACCTTTAGGTCAGTCAGGAATCCCATGACTTTTACAAGCCTGTCTGATTATCAAGATATTTATGATTTATGATAATTTTGAAGCACAATTTTGTCAGGGCTTCAATATTACACTACATGTATATTACAGACACTGATAACATGTAGGGCCATGCATCTCAGATTGAACATTATTAAACGATGCCTTTAAGAATAAGCCACTGCAAGCATTTTTTCATTCATCCATCCATCTACAACATTGAAACAAAAAATTAAAACTTAAAATCTGACTTTCAAAAATTCAACCAGGGGGGGTGTTTCACAAAGATCTTAAGTAGAATTTATCTCTAAGTTGGACTTAACATTATGGAAAGCCGTCTTTGAAAATATTTTGTAAAAAGTTATTTTAAAAGGCATAAAATGTTGATTCAAATCATTCATATTTTATATTATCAGGGAGATTTCATGTTCTTGATGTGGAATTTATGAAAAGTCTAAAATACTTCAATTTTTGCTTTTGAATACATGTACATTCTATTTTAAGGCTACAAATGGCTCTCCATAATGTTTTAGTCTAACTTAGAGTTAAGTTTGACTTGGGATCTTTGTGAAACACTCCCCTGGTATTACTGAACGTGGTGATGGACTTCTTTGAATTTCTAAGCAAAAGAGGATCTTACATGTGAGGTCTGCCTCCGTCTTGATGGATCCTGAGGGATCGTACTCCTGTACCGCCCTCTAGTGACATACGATGGCACCAGTTAGGTCTGCCTTCTAGCCCGATGATACTCTGTCCAAGACGCATCACACACCTGTTAGTAGTAGTTACACACTTACATGTCAATGCAGACTTCATTGAGTGATTTCAATTTGAGGGTTTAGGGCGGGTGTTAGTGTTTATTAAAAACTATCACCAGCCATAAACATTGAAATGAAAATCAGCTAATCTTAAGGCTTTGACCTCTGAATATCGTCAACTTCTGGTAGCTAGTGTTATCGATTTTGCAAAATTGACCTTTATATGGCTGGTGTTAATATTTTAGGTACAAATGTCCAATTCACTAACACTAGCCCCTAGGGATTAAGCAAATGTTGATTTCTAGTTTGGTGTTAGTGTAAAGCTATCAATATTATGGTATCTGGCTCTTAATTTCCTCAGCACATTTTTAGCTTGATTTAAGAACTCTTCATTGCTCTAAACACTAACACTAACACCCAACTTGAAATCACCCATTGTTACACTTCACATGATTTAGATAATGAACATACATGAATCTGTACGACTTACACATAGTTATAACAGGAATCCATAGGTAGTCAAGGGATAAGAACCAAGTACTGACTTCAAATTTGACCAAGCAATGATTTAAAACCCAAATTTTTTGCAAACTCTCAACAACAGCAATTTTTTGCAACAAGATATCTTTGCGTTAATTGTAATTTAAATATGAACCATGAACTTTGCAAATCTTGACCACTCTATCTCTGTTATATGTGAACTAAGACGAAATTAAGAATTTATTATCCATTCTGAATATCAGTTTTTCACTTGTAAAAGTTTATAGATCAGTTTACAAAAGGAAATCATTATCATAGACAATTACAGTAATTGTAAAATACAGTCATAACAGCTCTAGATGGATAAGTTACACAAAATCAGTTGTCTACGTTGATGCAGCCGCCTAAACCCCCTAAACAACTACAAACTGAAGAGGACTGAAAACTGAAAAGGAAAAAAGTAGTCTCACATGTTATCTGCTTTGCCCGGCTCCCTGTATGACAGCATGAGAGGAGCTACACTCCTAGCTCTCTCATGCTCATCATACTGACCGGCAGCATCAAAATCAGCTCCCTCCTCACGGAACACCAGAGGCAACCCAGACTTGTTGATCAACCAGTAGGGCGCTGAGACAGACACCTGCAAAGAATGATGACATACATATTACAGATACTACAGTCAAACCTGTCTATAGCGACCGCCCAAGGGAAAGACCACCTGTCTATAAACACCAAATTTTTTGTTTCCCTTGAAAATGGTTTCTCATTGGAACATGTACTAACGGAACCTGTATATAAAGACCACCTGCCTTTGAAGGCCACTTTTCTTGTCTCCCTTGGATGGTCTTTACTATTCATACCTTAGCTTCTCCTGGGGGTCGGCTTTTCTCTCAAGCATTCACTCTTGCTACTCTAATTCCACCTTCCCAATTCTTGATGTAATCCATCCCGCAGGAGGTCTACCAACTCAACACTTTCCAAACACTTTTCAACTCACCAATTTCACCTTTTCCAGTGTCCATCACCACTACCACCAATATCTATTCCCATCACCTCCACCACTAAAAAACATAACCACCATTACTCAGACCACCAACACCATCATCACCATCATCACCATTATCATCATCATCATCATCACCACCGCCACTATTGATCACCACCACCACCACCACCACAATCACCACCACCACCATCATCACAACCGCCATCCAACAAACATGACCACCATTACCCAGACCACCAACACCACCACCACCACCACAATCACCACCACCACAGCCACAATCACCAACTACCAACCTTGAGGGCTCTACCAGCAACACACTCTACCCTAACGGCAAGCTGTAAGCTCCTCCTCTTAGGATGTGTGTCTCGGAGCTCAATGTAGGCACACCCATCACAGTTGTGTTTGGCTGGGATGGTGAGAGGATGAGTGCATTCCCTGAAAGACTCGGTGAAGAACTTAATGTCTTGTGAATGGTCAAGGTCAGCCTGTCATAGCATCAAAGAACAAACAAAACACAATAAAAACATTAGAATAATAATAATAATAATATCATAATAATATTGGATATTTATATAATGCACATATCCACCATGCATGGTGCTCAAGGCGCTCCAACATTACCTTGGCTCTGCTAGGCAGCCAATTTCGGCGCTCACAGCATTCAAGGAATTCTTTCCTACCACCGATTCATTAAATGCTTTGAATCTCCCTTTAGATATCCACATATTTGCATCAATAGCCATGATCAATGTCTCAAACAAGATGAATTCTTATCTTACCTTAATCCCTGACCTAACAATATACCTCAAACTAAACCTAATCCTAAATCTAGATTTTACAACATATGTTCTGGTGACAACTGCTTAGTGGTCAATATATTACACTTACTGAATTCTTAGCACTTCATCTAACCCTAACCCTAAATAAAAGCCAGGAACAGTAATTCCTGGGCCCCGTCTTATAAAGAGTTGCGATTGATCCAAATCAATCGTAAGCCCTTTAATCAATCGCAAGTTTCCCCTATCCCTTTATGTACATAGTTGCGATTGATATCGATCGCAAATAAGTTGCGATTAATATCAACTCTTTATAAGACGGGGCCCTGGAGGATACATCTTGAAGTATATAAGCATCTACACCTGACCCAAAACCCACATGCAGCTTTAATCATACATCTTCAACGAAATATAGACTTCCTTAAATCGGATCAACTTGTTACGTATTGAACTGACCGTGTAGATAGGTTCATCCATTCCTGGTCTGATGCAGCCTTGGACTTTGGATTTGACCACCAGGAAGTTGAGTTCCATGGGTAAGAGATTGGTGAGTACCATGGGAGGCAGGATGGTCAAGGTGTGACCGGGCTGAGCGGCCAGCGTCTCCGTCTTCTTGGCTTGAGACCGCCTGCCGAGGGAGCCCTTGAATGGGAAAGCTTCGTGCTTCACGAACAAACAGAACCTATCGCACACACAGAACAAATTTCATCAGTAAGCTATTGTAAACTCATGAAAAGGTAATGTGGTTGAGTAGATATCATCATATCCCCCTTAGAAGAGTGTAAGTACTGTTTATAAAAGATGACTTGGATCCTAATCAAATGATTGGTTGAGAGCGTACACGTGACCAGGCATTTATTTTGCCTAACACGTAATTTTGATAATGACTGCTCATTACCAAATGCTAATGACCGGTCATTAGTAAAATAATGTTATAAAACATAATCTTATAAAACAAATAATACACATCATTTTGTTTGGGCACTAGTAAAATTACCAACACCTCGGTACCTTCAAAACAGTCCAAACACCCTCGCTTTTATACATGTAAAGCCATAAGAAGAACCCTAAAATTATGTTTCATTTGTTGAATGCACATGCCTATTCATTCCAGCATCAAAGTATTAAATATTAGATATTTTCATTATATTAGTTTAATCATTTATACTCATATTAGTTTAATCATTTATACTCATATTAGTTTAATCATTCATATTTATAATAGTTTTATAATCATTGAAATTAATCGTGTTTATCCAAGGTTCATTCAGGGCAGGTGCATTGGTTACAAGCATTCTTGAGGTACGTTTCTAAGATCCATTTCATCACAAGCACTGTGGCACAACATTTTGGAAAGTGTTGCACCTCTACGGGATGTCAGGAAAGGTATGCAGGGACTACATGAAATGCCTAATTCATTGCTCTATCATTGACTTTACTTTCGGAAGTATCTGCTCTTAGCGTATGAGCGATGATCAGGAGGGTGATTCGATGAATCAGAATGGGTAAAATGTTCCACAAAGAGATGTAACCTGTCAGATACATATGCATGTTTAAACTTTAAAGACTATGTCGGAAGTGAAAAACAAAATAGGAAAAGATGCTGCTTGTAAGTGTCGGCTTGCATGGTGATGTAGATATACAGTAGGCTTGCGGGTGCACTATGTGAGAGGGAGGATTGAGGAGTCCTGAAAAGGACTCTCTGTAATCTTTCTTGAGGGTTTGTTAGTCCAGAAAAGGACTGTTGGTATAGTCTTGAAAAAGACTGTTGGTTATCTTTCTTAGTTTATAGTTCTAAGGAGAACTATAGCGCTTGGAGAGGATGAGTAGCGGGAGTGGCTCGACGTTTCGAACAGGTTGACTATCCTGGTGCACCCGCAAGCCTACTGTATAAAATATGAATTATATATAAACGGAAAGCTTAAAAGCCATAGACTACAACATTATCAATTATTTGCTATTTTAGTGTCTGTCAGAGGAGTAAACAGCTCTCTGAAAACATGTAAAGCTTTGAAAATTGACTCGACATCATCTAATGTGGAGTACACATATTCACAATGCAACGACTTAACATTAATTAAGCATGGCTCATCGCCTAAGCTATATAGGAGAGCCGGTCAACTCCACATGTTATGTCGTCACTGTAACTGCGACAAATTTGACCCCTGTTGAACTGTAATTTGGAGGGTTGCGGAAAATAAGGTTTTAATTTGTTTTAGAGCAATACTGAGGGTTGAATTATTTTGTATTCCTTTATATTTGTATTCTATGTTCATTTAGCTTTCAATTGATATCAAATTGTATTTTCATCGGATAGGGTCTTTAAAGTTACTTCACATTTACATAAAGAATATGACCCATAATATATGAAAACAAATGTCATAGATTGTATTATCAAAATTATATATATATATATATATATATAATCCACATGAAGCTACAATTAAAAAAAACATGGAAATTATGGGTTCCTTGCTCACAAAGTCTCCAACTACAAAAAATATACAATAAATGTGCTCAGGAGGGCAACCTCTTCCTAATACATGTATTTTTCTTTACATAAAACTTTATTTCCAACAGAAAATAGCCTCCTCTTCACACACACACACACACAAGTGCTCCTACCTGAAGATACCGGAATCTCCACTGTCCGTCCTGCACTCCATAGGGAAGCTCTTGGAGTCGCCCGGGCACTGGGCCTGTCTCCATAGCAACGGCTTGTCGCAGTAAGAGACGGCCCATCCCTTGGGTCTGAGGTAGATGTCCCAGGATACACAGGGCAGTGGGATAGCTACCTTCTGGTTGGGTTCCAGTGGTTCCAGGACCTGGGGATCTAGGGACACATTCAAGAAATGCAAACTTTCTTTTAACTTTCACTACAAAAAGAAGATGGCTTGCAAAGTTGATATAGCGGCATGTTCACATGGTCAGCTCTCTGTCTTTGCCTACATATTGACTCAGGCAACCCCGGTTTGAAACTGAGTCATGTCTTTCGGATGGTGACGTTAAAGGACGGTCCCGAGACGTTAATAATCATATCTGATTGATACACGTCTGTAAAAACCCAATTACACACACACAATCTACAGGAGAGAAGGCTCTCCTCAAACATTTGGCAACCAAGACTGCAGGTAAGGGTGCCCCCACCAATGGGGAGTCCGGAAGCGTTATCAAAACATGCTTGGCACAGTCGCCCTGAGAGAATTCACTGTTACCAGATGAGCACCAAACTTATTATCTAACTTTCACAAATTGTTAACAACTCTTATTTTGTTGCTCTAGTTAATTGTAAAATTCAGAGCAATGCTTCAGTTTAAGTGTGCATCAAGAACTTGCAAAACTGAACAAAGTTAAAGAAGTTTCATACTTGCCAAAGATTTTGGTTTTACAGATCCTATTGATTCTTTTGAATCAATAGGAATTGTCAAGATTATTGTGCCTTTCTTTCTTTCATTTGAATTGATTTTATGTTAATAATTGGTATTCTAAAGATAATTGTTAATTGCTAACAGATAATATATTTATAAAAATGAGCATTTTCACAAAAGTTAAAATTTAAAAAGCAAATGAAATTGATGAAACAAAATAATAAAAATATGAAAGTAATACTTGTACAACAAAATTAATGATGACAAATAAAATAAATCAAATCACTGATATAAATTAAATTAAATTAAAGCTGAAGAATCAATGAAATTACTGAAATGAACCACTTACTGTCGGTCGGAGACTGGGGATTGACCAGTTTGAGTTCAATGGGTACACTCAGACGACTCACAACCATCAGCGCTGATCGGACCGTGATCAGCTTACGAGCACCGCCCTCTAGGCTCACATGAAACACAACCCTGGCTGGTTGCTGGTCTGTGAACTACACAGTAAACATAGGAAAACTTTAACAGTCAACATAACAATCTCTAACAATATAAAAAACAGAATTATGCAAAGATTTCAGATTTTCTGGGAGTAGTCTTGAATGTGAGAATTCTCGTTCAAGTCATATTCATTCAAGAGATTTACCTCAAATGGTGGTCCCTAAAGACCTATAAATCAGGTAAATTTATTTCAAGTACACTGTAGGTTTGTAAGCACAGGAACAATTGTATGCATTCATACAAATATACGCACACAGTGTGCCTGAAACTATTTAGTTTCATAAAAACTTACAAGCAAAATGAGGAGTTCATCATCAATTATTTTAACTTATAATGAGTATTCATGTGTACATTTGTAATTCTCTTTCCTACCTGTTCCAATTCTCATTTAAAATGAAGTAAATAGTTATACGATTTTAAATATAGACATGACAAGCAGTTAACAATCCAATGTGAAAAAGTAAAATAAAAGTTGGTCATTATCATCCTCATCATTATTGCAAGTAAGCTGCTAGTTCCTAAACAGAAGTTGACAGAAATTAATGTATTGTATAGTTTATTAAAATACTGAACCTGGCAGCCCATGATCTGATTTACATTGAGTTAACAAGACAAAAAAAAAATCACTTGCACATCATTGTTGTAAAAATTATCAAAAAATGTGAAAATAAATCATGAAAAGGGTGCCATGAAAGACTTACGATGCTAGAGAGTTGATTATGATGCGGTTTGGCCAGTCTGAAGAAGACCCCGACCTTGTCAACAGACACCGGTGTGAGCTGCTCCCAGCCATCAACCTTCACAACCAGCTGATGAACCCTCAACTCATGGGTGTTCTACAAGAAATACAAAGAGAACTTAAAGCCCCACTGCACTACTTATAGCTACTTGCGCCCTCTTTCTAGCAAACAGTGCCTAATCGGTGTCCGTTGGTGCCCCATGATCTCCTTTTTCTTATGTTAATTGAGAGGTAATTTGATGAGATAACCACCTGTCAGTGACCATGCAGGGAGGTCTAATCCCTCCTGGCCAAACTAGTACAGATGGGCTTCCGTTGTTTTCTTAGCCTGTCTGCATGGTCACTCACTTGTCACATGTGCAATTTTGCACAAAACAATAGGCACCAATTGACAGAATGATTACTTTGAGCAACACAGCTTTGCAAAATTACTGATTTCAGACCTTGATTAGCTCCTATGACAACCATATGAACACCGGTATCAATTAAAGATGAAGTTGAGTTCTGGTCATGCGATTGCATTGTGAAAGAAACGGTGTGGAACCGACCAGAAAAGGTTGATCATCTAGCATACAAGAATTTGTGTGTATTGCAAGGTTCTGGAGTCATCAAAATGATAAGAAATGTGGCCAAGTCTTGGTAAAGTTACAAACACTTGCACAGAAAGATGTATATGGGACTACACGAACACGTGGCGTAAAAAGCCGGCCCCCGATTTTTACGATGTTACATGCATATTTAGAATATAAAGGCATTTGAAGAGCCATGCTTTTCAGGGAACATGTCTTAACTGATGTTCTTCCACACTTGCATAAATAGAATGAGTAATGCTCACAAATTATTTTTCACCTCTTCCCAGAACTCAACCTTCTCTTTAATCTTGCACGGAAAACAGTAAAATAATCCTGAAGCCTTTGGTATCCTATCTATCCCATGATAAATACCATGTGGAACAGGGAGATTATCTGTGTGGCATATAAGGAGTCACTGGCCTGGTCTCTATGAACGGTAAATCACATTGTCGGTTAAAGATAAACTCCAGTACTGGTAAAAAATAAAAAAAAATTCTCACAGAATCAAACGAAACTTACACTGAATGTTCAAGATTACAAAAAGATTACAAATAAATGACATGTGCCAAACAATTTTGGAAGAAAATGTATACTGGCTGAGTAATGAGCATAGAAAGACAAGGAAATCAAGGTACACTGTAGTACTAGCCCCGACACCATGTGTGTTGTCCCATATATATAGCTTTCTATGTGAGTGCTTGTTACTTTACCAAGACTCGGTCAAATTTATTATGATTTTGATGACTCCAGAACCTTGCAGTGCACACCAATACTTACATGCTACATGATCAACTGTGTCTGATCCTTTCCACACCTTTTCTTTCACAATGCAATCGCATTACCAGTACTAAAGTTTATCTTTAAACTCTTCTGTGCAACCAAGTTTACTAATAACTGCCATAACTGAAATTTCATAAATCAAATTCTGAATTTTCATTCTCTGAATCAGTATCAAAGATTGCATGAGATAAAGTCTGTGGGTAAAATTTTACATTGCATGCATTTACATTTGTTTCACAAAGTTAAAGTAACCATTTGGGGTTCAAGTTCATGCAATAGCATTCAAGTTCTTGGGTGGGATTTGCTGCCCATGGCACAGCAGGACTCAGGGTCAGGACTTTGAGAGGCTTTTTTTTACAATAATTCAACAAATACACAACAATGCTTCTAACCTCCTTTTCAATATAAAGTGTATGGAAAGTTATTTTCAAATATTCACATATGATCTTCCATGCTATTTTTTTTTCCTTTTGAATGACAAAAGGCAATTTTGAAACTCAAAGAACCAACATTTATATATGAATAAAAAAAGGTTGCACTGCAGCTAGCTTGAATTGACTGATTTCCACGATGATGGGTAGAAGGGCAGAGGAAGAGGAAGGAGAGGAGAGAGAGAGATGGGGGAGAGAGGGGTGAGATGGGAGGGAATTGAGAAAACATAGAGAAGGGAAAGATAGAAAAGAAGATGAGAGAGAGATGGGGGAAGAGAAGGAATGACAGGGCGATTGAGAGAGAGTGAGAGCGAGAGAGAAAGAGAGAGAGAGGGGGGGGGGAGAGATAGAGTTAAATGTAGTACTTACCCTGTGCCTTGCCTTGCCCTTCTCTTCAAACATGAATGGTATCTCTTGTCCAGACTCAACCTCCTTCCATGCACTGAAGGTCCTCTCTGTATTCATCTTCTCTTCAGGTGAGGATACAACCCTGTAATAGAAACAGGATTTATATTTAGAAACATGCATTCCCAATCCTCCTTCCAAGCACTGAAGGTTCTCTCTGTATTCATCTTCTCTTCAGGCGATGATACAACCCTGTAATACAAACAGGATTTATAATCAGATACATGCATTCCCAATCCTCCTTCCATGCACTGAAGGTTCTCTCTGTATTCATCTTCTCTTCAGGTGAGGATACAACTCTGTAATAGGAACAGGATTTTCATTGAGATACATGCATTCCCAATCCTCCTTCCATGCACTGAAGGTCCTCTCTGTATTCATCTTCTCTTCAGGTCAGGATACAACTCTGTAATAGGAACAGGATTTTCATTGAGATACATGCATTCCCAATCCTCCTTCCACGCACTGAAGGTCCTCTCTGTATTCATCTTCTCTTCAGGCGACGATACAACCCTGTAATAGGAACAGGATTTATTATTAGATACATGCATTCCCAATCCTCCTTCCATGCACTGAAGGTCCTCTCTGTATTCATCTTCTCTTCAGGTGAGGATACAACCCTGTAATAGAAACAGAATTTATAATTAGATACATGCATTCCCAATCCTCCTTCCATGCACTGAAGGTCCTCTCTGTATTCATCTTCTCTTCAGGTGACGATACAACCCTGTAATAGAAACAGGATTTTCATTGAGATACATGCATTCCCAATCCTCCTTCCATGCACTGAAGGTCCTCTCTGTATTCATCTTCTCTTCAGGTGACGATACAACCCTGTAATAGAAACATGACTTTCATTGAGATACATGCATTCCCAATCCTCCTTCCCTGCACTGAAGGTTCTCTCTGTATTCATCTTCTCTTCAGGTGAGGATACAACCCTGTAATAGAAACAGGATTTATAATTAGATACATGCATTCCCAATCCTCCTTCCCTGCACTGAAGGTCCTCTCTGTATTCATCTTCTCTTCAGGTGACGATACAACCCTGTAATAGAAACAGGATTTTCATTGAGATACATGCATTCCCAATCCTCCTTCCATGCACTGAAGGTCCTCTCTGTATTCATCTTCTCTTCAGGTGACGATACAACCCTGTAATAGAAACATGACTTTCATTGAGATACATGCATTCCCAATCCTCCTTCCCTGCACTGAAGGTTCTCTCTGTATTCATCTTCTCTTCAGGTGAGGATACAACCCTGTAATAGAAACAGGATTTATAATTAGATACATGCATTCCCAATCCTCCTTCCAAGCACTGAACGTTCTCTCTGTATTCATCTTCTCTTCAGGTGAGGATACAACCCTGTAATAGAAACAGGATTTATAATTAGATACATGCATTCCCAATCCTCCTTCCATGCACCGAAGGTTCTCTCTGTATTCATCTTCTCTTCAGGTGAGGATACAACCCTGTAATAGAAACAGGATTTATAATTAGATACATGCATTCCCAATCCTCCTTCCATGCACTGAAGGTCCTCTCTGTATTCATCTTCTCTTCAGGTGAGGATACAACCCTGTAATAGAAACAGGATTTATAATTAGATACATGCATTCCCAATCCTCCTTCCAAGCACTGAACGTTCTCTCTGTATTCATCTTCTCTTCAGGTGAGGATACAACCCTGTAATAGAAACAGGATTTATAATTAGATACATGCATTCCCAATCCTCCTTCCATGCACTGAAGGTTCTCTCTGTATTCATCTTCTCTTCAGGTGAGGATACAACCCTGTAATAGAAACAGGATTTATAATTAGATACATGCATTCCCAATCCTCCTTCCATGCACTGAAGGTTCTCTCTGTATTCATCTTCTCTTCAGGTGACGATACAACCCTGTAATAGAAACAGGATTTATAATTAGATACATGCATCTAGACAACTTCTGAACTAGTCCTTCAGCTGCCCTATCCATCTAAAATATGTTCGTTCTTTCTGTGTCCATCTTAAGTTTTCCACAGATGAAGATACTACTCTCTACAAGAGGTAACTGGACATCCAGACAACTTTCTTTCTGTTACCGCAAAACAAACTGCCCTATCCTCATAAAGAAAGAAAAAAATAAAGAAAGAAACAAACAAACAACAACAAAAACAAAATAACAACAAACATTATTTCTGTATTTATCTTCTTTTCTACACAGAGCACCAATACGTAACAGAAGGATGACCTCCAATGAGGTAGTGTATCTTAATAATTATAATAATATGGATTTATAACGCGCTCAATATGAAATAAGGTCTCTAAGCACTTCACAGATATTATTTCCCCGGTCATTGGATGCATTCACCACTCTGAGTGCATTGTGAATTCATATAAATATATCCACATCATAACCCCAACATCAAGATTCAGAACAGTGCACCTTCATAAATACAATTGACATTAGTCAGAAGCTGTCTAAACTACAAACCAAAATACTGACTCACTTGTTGGGGGTGGTTGTGAGGGTTGCAAATGAAAGCCTGCAACCCGACTGGTTCTTGATCGCAAAGGGCACAAATGGTGATCTCGTCCTACCACTCCCAGAGGCCCTCCTGTAGGGAAACAAAGTACACAAAAACAAAAGAATAACATTATAATCTTTATATGAAGAATTTATTTCCAAAAGGAGCTACATCCATTTTTGTAACTTCAGAGAAAAGAGAAATTGTTTACCAGATTTTGTGCACGCATCTACGGAAAAAACATATTAGAAGGTGCATTTTTTCATAATTGCTCTCAAAATTTAGGTAAATAATTTTGTTGAAAGACGGGTAATTAAGTGAACAATGTTCTGATATCAATAACTCAATTTTCATCAAAAGTGGATTTAGCTCCTTTTGGAATTAAGCTCTTCATATAGTATTCACATTCTTTTATCCTTGAACGTCATATATATACATGTGCAGCCTTTGCCCCCATTTTTTTTTTAATTTGAAAAGCAAAGCTCCAAAATGTTAATATAGATTATGATTTTGGCAAGCAATGTGCATTTTAAACAGATTGGGGAACAATTGTAATTTTGTATGTATCTATATAAACAAAAATTTAACCCCACACTTAACAGAAAAATAAAATGTATTGTCAATCTACACGATTTCACCAATGAATATATTTCACAATGGAATAGAATCCAGAGGTTTCAACAAAAAAAGAAAAGGAAAAGGAAAAACCAGTACCAAGAAACAAACCGTAGAACTGTAGTAATGACACACACAAATTAAATATCACATCCAGTTAATATCACAAATAGAGAAGAAAAAGTTCTCATTCAGAAATAAGCACCACTTATATTAATAGAAGCAACATCCACTTACCCTCCCTTGCTATAGTAATCTTCTGTCCAGCTCTTCTTTGTATTGCTGTATAGATCGATGAGGGCGCTAGTCACGTTCAGATCCAACCTGTCATTCACTGTAGATATAAAATATTATACGAACAAAGAGTAGATAATAATAATAATAATACTCAGTTGTTTAAATAGCGCTTATTACAATCACAAAGTGCTTCCAAACTTGGAGATTATTACCCCTGTGTTGTTGCATTGCATTTCATAACATGATTCAATGTCATTACATCGGAATACTAATCTTTGTATTTTTCTTTTTGCTTGCTATAATAAACAAATTTCTAAGCGTACACATCAGATTAAAATATATTATCAATCTATACAAGTCACAAAAATATATTTCTCAATGGAATAGAAGCAATATCAGTTACATGGAAATCAATTACACTTAACAGTTTTCAGTCTATAGAAATGTAGATGATTTCCAACAATAGAATGTATTTGAGCTGGTTGTTAGTTAGTTTGTTTGCTTGTGTTTGGTTAGGTGTGAGTAGCTTACCTTTCATTTGAATGAAGAGTCTTTCCCCATACATCTGGCTTGCGGCTTGCTGGATCCATTCCACATTGCACCTACACAAAGAACAACAAGAAAATGTTACATGCTACACACATGTAGGTAGACTAAAGAATGTTATCTTTCATCACGATATGATCTCCAGATTATCATTAAACCATAAACATCCTTCTAACCACCATTAAAACTCTTAACTCTCTCTCTCTCCATCTCCTTCTCCTCTCTCTCTCTCTCTCTCTCTCTCTCTCTCCCTTCCCCATCTCTCTCTCTCTCTCTCTCTCTCTTTCCCTTTTCCCCTGTCCCATCTACAATGTATATCTTTGAGTTTGTTTTTTCTCTTTTTTTTCAATCTAGACTAGTCTTTAAAAAAAATGTACTTTCAATTGCAAAATACACCAATGCACTATACCATTATTTTTTTTTAAACAATTGATGTTTGCACATTATGTAAGTTTGAAGTGTTTAATTATACAAGTAATAATTTTTATCATGGGTTTTTCTGTTACTCTTATTTCCTTTTAGTGGACCTTTCAACAAAGATTGGTATATTTGATAACAGCATACCCACAACTGAACTAAGAGACTTGCTTCCATGGCTCTAAGCAAGACTCCCAGACCGAGAGACCGCTAAGGTCATTTTCAGCAGCTAGCAACTATGACATCCTTTCACAATGAACATTACATTTATTTAAAGCCTGTCTGCATTAGTTTGGCCAGGAGGGATTAGACCTCCCTGCATGGTCATTGACAGATGGTTTTCTCATCAAATCAGCTCTCAATTAACATAAGAAAAAGGGGACCATGTGGGACCAATGGTCACCAATTAGGCATTGTTTGCTATATAGAGGGCGCAAGTAGCTGTAAGTAGTGCAGTGGGGCTTTAAAAAGAAAAACAAACAAACAAACAATGAAAACATTCCAACCGAACCAAGACACTCACTTCCATGGTTCTAAGCAAGGCTCCCAGCCCGAGAGACTCCTATGATAGTAGTCAGCAGAGAGAACACAAGCAGCTTGACCTTGGGCGCTAGGGAGAAGCTTCTGAAAGAAGTTGAGGTTCTGGCAGGAGATCTCTATCAGAGGGATGTCGATGTTACCGCAGTCATCGATGAGGGTGATGGCAAGGGAGCCAGCTCGCACCTTGAGCGAATAGAAATAAATTGGTGTAACGCAATGAATATCAGATGGTACAAAGATCAATTTTTGTGTTAGAAATTATCACTATGATATTAATAATTATTAATAACGATGTATGACTGTTGACTGTGATGTTGACTAAAACCCCCGAAATAGAGTGCTGAGCTATTCAGCTATCAATGTGAATCACATGGTTCACAGTTCGAGTCCTGCTGCGGCATGAATGTCCTTTGGCAAGATATTAATCTACATTTGCCACTCTCCACCTAGGTGTGGGAAATGGGTACCCAGTAAGAAGAATAAATAATGTTTGAAGGGCCCTCAGGAAGAACAGTGTTAATACTGATGAGGCTACCCTCGGTAAACAAGTCCATTGTCATCACCATCATCGTTATTATTTTCATCATCATCATCATCATCATCATCATCATTATCATCATCATCATTACCATCATCATTATCATCATCATTATCATCATCATTATTATTTGGATCGTCATCATCATCACCATCACCATCATCACCATCACTACCACTACCACTACCACTACCACCACCACCACCCTCATCATCATCATCACCATCATCATCACCATTATCATCATTATCATCATCACCATCATCATCATCATCATCACCATCATCATCATCATCATCACCATTATCATCATCACCATCATCATCATCATCAATATCATCATCACCATCACGACCATCACCATCACGACCACCACCACCATCATCATCATCATCATCATCATCATTGCATTCAGGCCCTGAACTCCTATTCTTGGTAAAAGATCAAACATACCTCGATTCCTGCAATCTCCATCTTGCCGCTGCCCCCATCCTCCCTGTCCGGTTCCCTAGGGCTATGAGCCGGGCTCGAAGCAGGAACAGGCTGGGCATTCTCTAGGAGCCATCCTGCAGCTAGGTCCAGTCTGTAGTTACTCCTCTCCAAGGCCTTGCGACAGTCTTGAGTATGGAACCCTAACTCCTTCAACTTGGCGACTAAGATGGAACACAATGAAAACAAAGGTCACAGAGGTCAACTTCTGAAATTACCAATAAGTGGGCGTTGTGGCGTACGCCTGTAATCCAGCTAACAATGGAAGTTACAAACTGATTCAGCCAAGGACGCAGGTTCGAAACTGAGTCACGTCTTTCAGATGCTGACGTTAAAGGTCAGTCCCCAGATGTAAATAATCATATCTGATTGATACACGTCTGTAAAAACACAATTATACACACACACACTCAAGACAAAAACTGATGCTCAAATATTATGAACACTCTAAACTGATACATGGATTTTATGTGTACCTCAAGTTGATACCGTATTTGCCGGCGTAAAGGCTGCAGTATTTTTGGAAGAGAAAATATCAAAAAGTCGGGGTGCGGTCTATGCGACAAAAGAGTAAAAAAAATTATAAAAAAGTAAGTCAAACCAGCCCAAATTTGCACACATGGGACTAGATCTACGAACAGTACAATAACAATACATTTCCACACATCTTACCGACAATTTTATCTTGCATTGTTGACATGAAGACGAAAATAAACTTCCAAAAACAACATATGCCAATAGATCTTGATCTAAGTTCGTGCCAATGCATTGCAAAATTAAAAGAAAGGCCCGTTTAACGGAGCTGCCGCGAAGTCGGGGATGCGGCCTATACGGCGCTGCGGCCTTATCGCCGGCAAATACGGTAATGACAATAATTTGTTGCCATACACAATCTCGATGGGCAGTGTGTGGGATAAGAATTCTAGGAAATGCATCTGATTGGAAGCTTACTTTGTCTCTTAATCTTGGACTTGGATTGCGTCTTCTCCTCCGCCTCGTTCCTCATATTATCCACCGCCTCCACCTCTTCCTCCTCGTCCTCAGAGTGCTGTTTCTTGATCATCTGTGATGGCAGTGAGTTCATGATGCTGAGGAAGAGCTGAGCATCATGGTAGGATACGCGGATGTTCAGCGCCTGGATGTGAACCTACAAAGGACAAAGTAATAATAATTACATTTTTTTTATAACGCATAACACATACCCATAATTGCATGTCTCTGAGTCTATGCACTTCACGTAACAAAATACAGAAGAAGTGGTAATGGTGCACTGGGTTCATGATTATCAGATTTTACAAGGTGCTAAATAAGTATGTTTTCAAATTAGTTCTGAACTTTTAGTATGTTTCTATATTTCTAAGGTATTCTGGCAAGTTATTCCATAAAACAGTGGTTGCATATGAAAATGACCTTTCCGGGTAAAATTTGAAATAAAGACTTATTCCAGGAACGCAGCTTTCTTTCTGGTTTAAACTGTACAAACACTTGCACAAGTGATATATTGATAATTGATTGACTCAAACACAACATCCTAAAAATTGAATAATAAATGGGTGAGCTCAAAGAAATGCATGCATTACGAACCAATTGTTAGAGGGAGAGAGCGCATCATATACATGGATACATTTCACGCTAAGCGACCCCAAAACATATTCGCGGGTTCTTAAATTCGGGTCACACGCATTTCGGCCCGTTCTAAACACGCATAAGATGTCATGCTTACATATTAATGGGTTTAATATTCGCAGACACCAACTTAAGCGCGAAATCCGCGAAATTAAAGCACCATGACGTTTACAGTAGATTGATATCAACTCTTTAATGGACTCACCTCCAGTATAGCATGGGCATCCATGATATCTAGTAGTCCGCCGAGCTGCTGCCCGCTGTGAAGGTGAGACGATGTTCCCTTCAGCTCCACGTTGATGGTGCTAGGGTCCACGATGGAGAGTGCGGTGTCCTCTTCACTACTCATGCAGCAGGAGAATACCTCCAACCCTTCTAGACCGCACGAGAAAGGGTTCTCCTTCGAGACGGGCTTGTAGGTCAGCACGGCACAGGTAGACTGTTTGTTACAACAAAGGAGGAAAGATATTGACACTAAAAGCTTTGTGGGGCACATCTGAAGAAAAGATTGTAGGTCAGAACTGCACAGGTAGACTGTTACAACAATGGAGGAGAAATATTGATACTAAAGATTTGTGGGCACTCTTGAGGAAAAGATATAAAAACTGTTTTCTAACAAGTATTTCCCATAAAAGTTGCTTTGTAATTACAGTAAGTTGACTGTACATGTACCCACAATTTTTGGATGAGAAAGGGTTCTCCTTCAAGACTGGCTTGTAGGTCAGCACGGCACAGGTAGACTGTTACAACAATGGAGGAAAAATAATCACTTTGCGAGGCACTGCTTACAAAAAGATATATAAAAATCGAGAGAGGGTTCTCCTTCGAGACTGGCTTGTAGGTCAGCACGGCACAGACTTTGCGAGGCACTGCTGACAAAAAGATATGAAAATCTGTTTTCTAACTGTTTTCCCCACAAAATTTGCTTTCTAAAGCCGGGGTATTAATTGTGGAGTGCCAGGAGTGTTGAATCTGGGGTGGTAGGTTAATGCTTTCTTTCAAGATGACAGTATTAGAATTACTATACGATGCATCATCTAAGATCACAAATTCACAGTTACAGTTAATGCACTGTGAGAAGCTTGGCGAAGATGGCGCACAATACATTTTCACCATACTTGAGGAATGTTTGTTTGTTTTGTTTTCTGTTTGTTTTATTTGGTGGGGTGCTTACCTTTAAGATGACAGCATTAGAGTCACTAGATGATGTGTCCCCTAAGATCACAAACTCTGTCTCAGTCACATTCACCTTGAAGTCTGAGTTCTTCTCAACCTATAACAAGTGCAAGAAGGAAAAGGTCAACAAAAAAGAGAGAGCATAGCGTATTTGATTTTGCGCTATTGAGGGGAAGAGGGCATATGGATAAGATTTGAATTGAAAAGACGGGGGAAATGTAATCAGCTGAGCAACATATTATCTACAAGTATACCCTCTATATCAATCCCCCTGTCCATTTATCAACCCAGTCATTAATAATTTGTTTAATGTTTATATCCCAATTTTCTCCGTTTATAACCATGTATCTATTCTTCCATCCATTCTACATGTATCTCCCCATCTATCAATCTATCCTTCTAGCTATCCATCTACCAATCTATCCTTCTATCTATCCATCTATATATCTATCTATTCATCTATCGTTCTATCTATCAATCTATCCTTCTGTCTATACATCTATCAATATATCCTTCTGTCTATCCATCTATCCTATCTATCAATCTATCCGGTGACCTGGATCTCTTATCTACCGTTGTTACGTTAGAAGACTCTGTAGCAGGGTCTATCCATCTATCAATATATCTATCCTATCTATCCATCTTTCAATCTATCCTTCTATCTATCCACCTATCCATCTATCCTTCCAATCCGTTTACCTGTTCTCTGTGTGGTACCCTCTTGGTGAGTATGCCTGTTCCAATGCTGACCGGTGACCTGGATCTCTTATCTACCGTTGTTACGTTAGAGGACTCTGTAGAAGGGTCCAGGGACGTTGAGGCTTCTGACGATGCCCTGGCACTTGCTCCTTCTGATCCTGTCATGAAAAATAACCAAATGTTCAACAAACTAGAACTTTGCTTCTGTGCAGAAACATAATAATTATCTTAAAGATACATACATGTATTAGTGGGCTGTCATGGAGATTTGGACAGTATTCAGTGTTTATCCAATAACAGGTGATGGCAATCACCAGGATTAGCCTACAGTTTTAATACCAACAGATCTTATGTAATGCTATGCATTTTCCACCAATCGCGCCATATTGAAGAGTCATTACGTAACCTTACATTTCACTCACCAAAAGACTCTCTGAGAAACTAGGAGTATTTCCTAATGGGACCACAGGTTTGCTGTGTGCGAGACTTGTATATGTACCCCCATTAATGGTATTTCCACCAAGTTTGGTGTCAGCGAATTATGACCTACTGCACATGGAAACTGACAACCATCTCCCTTTAACCCTAATGACGCCATGTTGGTTGTTTTGGTGGTCTCTGGGCCTTTTTAGGGTTAATACATCATTTTCCAAGAACTCAATGATTAGTACATGTGCATATGAACCCTTTTATGATAGATTGTTCTTCATGAATAATCCATTAAAATTGTAGACCAACTTTAGGGTTGTTGGGATTGGCCTTTAATATAGAGCTAATGGGTCTAAAAGCTTTAAGGCACATTTCTGTTGTCCCACATAGAATTATGAATGCTCACATTACATACATTCACTTGCTTCATGCTTTTTGCTTTTTCCCCCAACATTTCATAACAAATGTTGTCAAGGTTTGACAACAGGATAATACCTTCAAATGGTAATCTTTCATTCAAATCAAGTAAGCATTAAAATTTCTCTTATGGAAAAAGATAGCTTGCCTTGAACTGCCTGTGAATCATAGGCCAGTAAGAAATCCTTGACTGCTAGGAGAAGGTCAAAGACACATATGACCCTCATGTTGTTGAGCAGGGCCGTTGCTCTGGTGCTATCGGCCTGGGATGTGAAGTGCAGCTCCAGCTGTAGAGGGTTCGGATTGCGACTGTGATGTCTGGTAGGGGTCAGGATCTCCTCAAAGACGTTGCTTCTCTTCTTACTAGTATCGCCTAAAATGAAAGAGGAAAGAGTTGAGTGAAGGTTACGCTTCTTCTTCTTCTTCTGGTTAAGTCTGCCTCCTTCAAATTGACTGAAAATTCTAGCAAACTATGTGCGTGTGAACGGCAATTTACGTCCATTTGTGTGCTATTTACGTTATGATACAGTTTATTTTATACAAATATTTACAATCTCATGTATAAGCTTACAGAAGCAAGAGCTCTCAATTCCATTGCCTGTATATTGCCTGAAATCGAACCAGCTACCTGCAATCTTGAAGGAGCTTCATCTGTGGAATTCCTGTATAGTCCTGTATAGTTCGCTTGAGAACACAGCTTAAAGACCAGTATAGACCAGTTTTGGGAACGCCCCCCCTCTCAAAAAATGAAATGAAAGCTCTTATTACCAATCATGTGAAAGAATATTTTTTTACTAATAAGTGATACAAATTTTGCCGGGAAACCGCCTACTAATTGATATATTTGGTAAATTATCATATCCATCCAGCCTCGATAGATATCGCAAATGCACTTCAACATCGAACATACTTTTCTGCTCTTTTGCGAATTTAGGTTGAAGTATTGCCATCTAAACCTCTGAAGGCAATATCTAAACAATATTGAATGGATATTTTGCACCCAAAACCCTTGAACCGCAATTGTACCACTTCCGGTCTATATCTTTAATTGACTCAACTGGCCTCATCGAATTGATATATCATCTGTCCAGAGCCAGAAGTGAATTAACTCTGTGTTAAAGCACATGAGTTAATGCCCTTCTGGCTCCGAAGAGACGATTACTTTGTTTAAACGACCCAGACCTGTGGACTGAAGTGATGTGTGTGAAGCACCTCGTAACTCCAAAGAGAAGGCACGACATCAAATACCTTTTGGATTAGATTGGAATAGAATTGAAAAGCTGGAAGCCAGTTGAAACCATTCTCTTTAAAGCGGGACTGCACAACTTGTAGCTACTGGTGCCCTCTATACAGCAAACAACTCCTAAGCGGTACCCACTGGTCCCCTATGGTCCCCTTTTTCTTATGTTAATTGAGAGCTGAATTGATAAGATAACCACCTGCCAGTGACCACGCAGGGAGGTCTAATCCCTCCTGGCCAACAAGTGCAGATAGGCTTTAAAATGCTAGAAGCACTTAATTCAAATCTTGGTTACCATCCATCCAATAACAAGGGTCAACATTTCTTCCACATACCTTTCCATCTGGTATCATACGCTCTGATGGCATGTGACACCAAGTCCACCGTCTTGGCTCCGTTCGACTGGCTCATGAACGAGAACTTGGACTCCATGAAGTTGAACTGACCCAACGACCTCTCGGGCACCGCCTCCTCAGACTCGTTACCATGGACACCAACGACAGGGTCAGATGCATGCTGGAGGAGGAGTTCAAGGGTCACGTTGACAAGGTTGATATGCATGGAGATGTTGGTGCAGGTCTGCCCGCTGAGGACCGTCTGGGACTCGGGGTTGGAAGGGCGGGGCAGTGTTTGGAACTCCTCCAGAGGCTCGCCCAGATTGTGGTCCAGGAACCCACGGATGAGCTGGTACTGGGAGAGGTCCAGGCAGCAGTGGACCGATGAGAGCAGACCATCTATTTCCATGTCTGGAACTACAGGGATATATAAAAGTAGCATAATTACATGTACTAAACATACTTGCTGTATTTTGCATATATTGTATTGTCGTGTTACTACTGTACATGTATATGTGCATATTAACATGCATTTACAATGTATCTGTTCATTGTACAGTGTATTCATTCTATGAACTTTTGTCTATGTTACCATACTATGATGTGCATAGGTATACTATGATTTGTAATCAGAATTGGAAAACGTATTTGATACTACTACATATACATTATCTCATGATTTCTTGACTTAGGGTAAAGATTTACAAATTGCGACACTGATAGATATGCATCGGACTACAAGAGAGAGAAAAAAAAAGGATTGCGCTCTGACCTGTCCTTCTGATGTCAATGTCCAGATTACGGTCCACCTGCAGTTTCAGAAGGCATGTCTGCTTCAACAGTTTGCCACCCTACAAAGAAAAGAACCAAACCAAACAGCATTATAAATGGTAATAGGATGACATACAACCAGGTCAAATTACTGGCAATTAATTTCAATAGATTTTCACAAAGATGCACATAATCTTTAGCTCTGTGAATGAAATCAGAGCACACACAAGAATATGTATTCTCACAAGAAGTATGTTTTGTTTAATGACTGTAAAGAAATTCTTACAAATCAAACAAGAACTTACACATAGTACTCAAGAGTACACAAACACGTGGCAAATGATTACAGTAGAAAATGTATGAGAGTTGAGTAATGAAATGATATAAGAAAATTAAGTTATAATGTAGTAGTCCCATCCCAAAGCAATAACATTTGATCTCATACACTGTACATGTACACATTGTGCTTTTCAAGAGGTAGGGGTACTTGCTTTTAAACCAAAAATAATGCTAAGAATTATGATAATACACATTGAAAATCAATAAGAAGAGATGAAAACACTTAAAGATAAGATAAGAAGTCTAACCTTTCTTTGGACAATGAAAGACGGAAAGATCAAAGCTGTTCCATCTGACACATCAAAGTCTGTCGGAGAAACTCGCTCTGCAGGGTAAAGATCCATGTCTTCAAGATCAATCTGAATACAGTCTAGAAGACAACTCAAATTCTCCTCCTTCTTGCTGACCTCCACTTCCGCTTCACTCGCTTCATCAGCAACTCTTGGAGAATGCTTTGGCGTTGATGAATACTGCGGTCCATGGCTGGACTTAGATATTACAGCAGTCCTTGTGCTGGCTCGTGTCAAGACACCAGGGGCAGTTCCTAGACCAAGTCCAGGACTGTCTTCTAAATTTAGACCATGAGCTGTGGCCACCTTCCTGGGTGTTTCTCTGGCAGGTTTGGAGGATTCTTCCGAGGGCTTAGGGTCCTCAGGGTGAGGTTTAGGAGGACTGGTCTTGTGGATAATGGTTCCGGGTGTCCCAGACATCAGGAACTGGTTGCGTAGGGTCAGGTTGCCAAGGTTGATGACCAGTAGGTCCTTGGACTGGGAGCTCACGGGTGCTAGTATGACAGGAGAGCCAGCCTGGACATCAAGCATGATGCGAGATGTACGAGTTGGTTCAACAGATACCTGAGGTGTCAAAGACATAAATGACAAACATTGTAACGTAACCTGATCAACTCGTAAAATGACATGAAAAATAATGAATACTAAACTTCTTTTCAGTATTCCTTCATTGAAATCAACTCATTAAATATCATGTAAATATCAAATCCATAGACTACCTTGTAGTTTTTCAGCAGCTGCCCTCATTGAAGCAGGGTGAAGTTCATTATTATCATCACAATCATCTTTTCCATCACCACCATCACAATTATCCATCACATCACCATGATAATAATCATTATTATGATATCTTCAGTATTACCAATGTCATTGTCTTCATTGTAATCATCATCACAACCTTCTTCTTCATCATCGTCACCACCACAATCATCATTATTATCATCATCCTCTTCCCTCTCCTTCCTCCCCCTCCCCCTCCCCCTCCCTCTTACCCTCCCCCTCCTCCTCACCCTAACCCTCACCATCCTCCTCACCTCATGCCCTGCAGCTGCAGCCCTCATTGTGCCAAGGACTTCCTGGAGTTGGTTGAAATGCTGCGCAAAGGCCACGACTTCTGACTGGAAACGGTTCGTGTGAACGTAGCGGACTGTTGACATCCTCAGTTTCACACTCATGTCAAAATCCCTCTCAAACTCCCTTTGAGGCTCCTTCCTAGGCTTTCCATACCTAAAGGTATAAAAAGCAGCATTAGTAATAATAATATTAATAGTAATTGCTTCTCACATGTATCTAGCATTCATGTCCGCCACTTTGTGACACTCCTGGCACTGCCCCGTTTATTACCCTGGCTTTAGCAAGGCAGCCATTACAGCCCTCTAACATTCAAGGAATTAATTCCTACCAGGTAGCCATTTACATCACCTGTGTTGAGTGTGGCAAATGTAGATCAATGTCTTGCCAAAGGACATTAGTGCCGCGGCAGGACTCGAACCACTGATCTTGTGATCGACAGTCCGGTGACATATCCACTCATTAAAAAATGGCTCAGTGACCATCTCAAAAACAATATTTGATGCCACATAGGTGTGCAGTCCCATACACCTATATCTGCGGGCAGTGCTTTCATTTTAATTCAGCAAGATTGGGTCAGCTATTTTATCATTTTATGATTCAATGTAACTTCAACTAAAAAATAAAACAATAAGAATAGCTTCTTTAACAATACATTTAAATGGCAAGAACTCAAGTTCATCTTAAACTCCAACACAGTTTTCTCTGTGACTTACTTGAAAATATGGAAGCTGAGAGCCTCTTCTCCTTTCGTTGTGAACCTCTCCCTGTAGAGCCTTCCATGCGGGGTCAAGTCCAGCACCGACATGCTTCCCATGTGACCTTTGACCTCTAGGTTGCCCTCCATGTTGGTCATGTGAGCATTGACCTCTGACACGCTGGCCTTGGCGAGCTCGTAGTCAGGTTTGTTGAGGATGAGAGAGAGGGATGCCAGGTGCACCTGCATCTCCATGTTGTTACCTTCTGGTTCACCTACACCTAGAAGACAATTGGGTGAGAACAAAACATTAATTTCTTTATAAAAATATATCTTTCAGGTCACCATGGACAATACAAGATGGACGTAAGACAATGCAGGGGGAAACTATTGGGCAAAGGTGACAGGCTGTGATTGCCGTGGATGCCAGGCCAGATTTTTAAGCTGTCAAAAATTTGCCAGGGCAGTCACGATGCGGATGAGAAACCCAATAGGCCGTAGTAAAACGAGGTGAACTCAATAAAACGTGACACTACGTAACAAAATATCTAACAAAACTTGAATACAGAGAAAAAATAACAACAAATCCCACAGCACACTGCGTTTCGGTCAAACAAGGATGCCGTGGCCACCGGGAACATAATGTGAAGCTAGCATAAACTGACATGAACAACTCTTGAGGTGTGTAGAGAGAATGATGTAATTCCGTGCAATGTAATTTGAATTTATTTCTTCTTTATTTACCTTTCAAAGAATAACTTTCTGCCGTTAACCTATACAGTTGAACAAATTTTTAATACATAAACCAAATTTTGCTACTTTTCATTACAGTTTGCTGTGACAACCCATCTTACGCATTAAAAACAATTGTTGACTCCCACGGCCAACAAAATACTCACTTGTTTGTTGAGTTGGCATTGGTTGTATGAGCCCCGCCTAATTAAAACCTGCAAATAATCTCAACTTATTTTTGATTGATATCGATTGCATCTCTGTATTTATCAGAGATATGAGACAGTTAACTTGTGATTGATCTGGATCGATCGCAACCCTTTATAAGACAAGGCCCAGAACTAAAGACTAGCTTTACAATGTACTTGTCGACTCCAACGGCCAGCAAACTACTCACTTGTTTGTTGAGTTGGCAGTGGTTGTACGTCAGATGTCTGTCTCTGCGGAGCACTGGTTCTGGTTGGAGTGTCCTGTTTGACGTTGTCCTTAGGTAGTGAGCTCCCTATACCCAGGAAGTCCAGGAGAACCACCCAAGTCTGCTGGTTGATGGTGATGTCCAGCTGGTTGAACTCAACATCAACAAACTGGTTGGTCTGCACAGGTAAGAAAATCAATGATGGTTAAAGGGATTGGGTATCTTTGTCTCAGATTCTGAACAAAATCCTGGATTTAGCTCATGCTGCAATCATAATTATAAATCTATAGGTCATTCAGAAATCCCATGTTTACAAGCCGATCGCCTGTCTGATTATCAAGATATTTATGATTTAAAATCGAAATTCAATGGTTTTCATAACACTACTGTCTATTTGGAAAAATGAGTATGGTAAAACCAGTCACTCAAAGATTTTTACTTTTTGGAGGCACTTCATGATCATTTTGAAGCGCAATTTTTTTTTAGGGCTTCAATTTTACACCATATCACAGATGCTGATAACACGTAGGGTCATGCATCTCAGATGTAACATTGTTAAATGATGCCTTGAACACATGATAAAAGGGGATCAAACAACAGAGATATTCTGCTCTGTACAATTTAAAAAAAAAATATTTGAACAATAGCATCACCAAATATTTAATGAAATGTGCTGAAACAGCAGACTCTCACTGAATGCTCTCGTAGACCAATCAAGTGGTTCACTGCTTCTCACAATGACTAAATAAATGAAAAGTACAGTACAAAGGAACAAACTAATATACAACACAAAATAAAAGCAAAAAATAATTAGGTCACATCATATACCATATTCAAAACATCAGTTCCAAATGTCACTTTTGGGTAGCAATATTACAAGTTTGAATACACTCTACATGTCAGTAGCCTTATAAAAGTTGACACACATGTATGCACACATATGCACAGGTAAGTTTAATAACTCCAACTTAACTTCGGTGCAGGCCTTGATATGAAATCAATGTGTCCCCTATCCTCTATAACCTTTAACCATTTATCTCTCTGATCCTTAACCATCCAAATTCCTCACCTTCTTGTACTTGGTAGCGTACTCAGGACTCTTCTTGTCCACCAAGAGAACTCTGATCTGTACCAGGGCATCACTGGTAGGGACTGTATCCGTTGATATGTTAATGTCCTCCAAGGAGATGTTCAGAGAAGGAGGTGGTGTGGAAGGGTACATACCCCGGCTGCTACTGCTCGTTTGTCTACTGTACTGAGGAGCATAATACTGATCAGGGTTGTTTAGTTCCGAAGGCACTGAGCTGGGTCTGATGGGCGACATCGCCGGCATGGCCGTCACCGATGGACACGACGTGGAATGGACCATCTTGGATGACGGGCCACTGCCAGAGCGTCTGGTGCCACCATGAGATGCTACGAGTTGGCGATGCTTGGAGTCAGGACTCTGAAGGAGGTCCTCAATCACCAGAGACTGCAGGAGGATGGTGACCGATGTCGCAGCTGGAGTGGACTTCTCGTAATCGATGCTGAAGTCCGAGAAGCACACATTGACAATGCCTTGATCGCCATCGCTGAGGTCACCCCGCATTTGAATACAGAGGTCTGGCATGGCAAAATTTGCACATATCCTCATTGGGAGCTTACTTCCAGCAGGTCGGATGGGTGTACTTTCTGTGACTCTATGATACCCCGGTGTCTTTGATTGTGTCCCCAACGGCTCTAGTTCCTTGACATTGAAGATTCCTGACTTTCTGCCTTTGGTTTTCTCTAGGCTAACAGGAGTGGAGGGTACCTTTGTTGGTTCGTCATATGTCAGGTTATCCAGTGTCTGCAAGATCTGTTCATAGATATGCTTGGACAGAATGACCTTCAGGTGGGTGACCACCTTACCTACAACTTGCAAGGTGGAGGAGTGGTGGTCAAGGTCGAGAGGTTCTTTCTCCTCAAGGTCAGGGAATGCCATGCTGTTATCCATGACCGGTGGACCAGATTCCGATGGGATCTGATTCACGATGACCTCCAGAGAAGTGTTGTGAAGGATAGGTGTCCCTGAATAAGGTCCGGAGGCAGCGCTCATGATGTCCGAACTGATGCTGGTTACGCTCTGCTCCGATGGCACGTTTGTGTCTTCGTGGTTGAAGGAGAACAGGTTCACGTTCTGAATCCTCAAGAAGAAGCGGGTCATATCCGGATTAGGGTCGAGTCCCAAGGTGCTCTCGATGTCCATGTCCCGACTGATGTCCGAAGACTCGCTGTTGGTCAAGCTGATCTTTCCTAGATGGGCGACCAAGAGCTCTGAGCTGGATGCTGTCCTTGGGATGATGATTACAGGCGTCTCCATGACGATATCGAAGTTCATACTGGTGTGTGACTTAGCACCGATACGTGAGTCAGTCATGTCCATGGATGAATCTCCAAAGGTGTTTCCTCTCTTCCCAGGAGACTCCATCATGGTGTTGAACATACTTGGGGAGAAGGACGTGACAAGGTCAGGCATCTGCGACTGTATCAATTCCCTGGCTGCATCGCCGGCTGCCTTCTGAATGGAGTTTGCAAGGTTGGCGATTGAGCTCTGAAACTCGTCCATGCAGAGGGTGACTTCATGGAGAAACCGAGGGACATGGATGTAGCAGAGGGATGCAAGATGAAGCGACAGGTTCAACTGCTCATCAATATCCTCTCCACCAACTTGTATCTTGATAGGTGATCCCAGAGACATAGCTGTTGTGTTCTCAACGTCTCTTCCTTTCTTGAAAGTAAAGGAGAAGGCTCTCAGCACTTCCTTGCCTTTCTTGTCTTCCTTGACTTCCTTGTCTTCCGTGTCTTTGATCGTGCTAAATCTCGAGGTATCCATGGCAGATTTGTACAGGTCCGTCTGGTCACTTTGTTTCATTACTGAATCCCTTTCAAGAGAAGTCTTCTGGCCTGTTGTTGTTGGGTCTTGTCCGACACTGAAGACCTTTTGGTGTCTGCTGCCCTCTGGCGTTAAGTCTAAGAGCTGGAGACCGCCAAGAAACCCTCCCACACTCATCTCCCCACCTGGTATCAGAATACAAAGAGAACATGTTCAAAATTAGCTCTATTGATAAAAGTCACTCTTAAGTATATACATTTCACAGGTACAAATTTTTCATACATACACAGGGTACTCAGGATAAGTATAGTCTGTACAACTTTACAAGCTTACGCAAATTGCAGTGTTTAGATTGTACATGATTACATTTTAAAATGTGTTTTAAACGAAATTACGATGTATGTAATTATGAATTTTGAAGCTAAAATTAGTACATCCATTCTAAAGTCAGTTTTTTATTCATTGTCTTTATTGCTACAAATTATAAACAGGATGTGAAACAGACGAACACAAAAGGCTACTGTAATTTCTTTAAATTTCATTAACATGGAGCAATATTTTTTGGTCTTTCTAAATCCTTAGCCCGATTCTTTGTATTGCTAAAATTAGACCCCCCAAAAAGACTTTGTGCGATTAATTCACATATTCCAGATATTTTAAATGCTACTTCTCTACCATACGATTGCTCCCTTTGATCACTTTTGGCCATCTATCTCGAGAATAATTCAAGAAAGAAGGAAAAACAGAAAATGAACAAAATACATGATGCAAGAGTGAAATTCCTAGTTTAACACTGGGAACAATAAAGGTAGACCATATATATTTACCTAGAGTTGCATGTACGTGAGCCTCACTCACAGTGGCTGTAGCAACTTTCTGACCTCTGACCTTGGTTCCCATGATGCCCCTGACCATGACTATGTTAAGGCAGCGGAAGTCTGCTGAGATCTCTGTACGGGTTGGTGTCTGGCTGTTGGAAGGCTGAATAGATAGAGAAGGGTAAGAAGGGTAAAGGCTCGTTAACATGACGCTTCGTTCGTTCGTTCGTGTCTCCTTAGATCAAGATTAATGTATCTTGATCTTCGGAGTAGTTGCTACAACGGGCCGTGTCAGACACGTTGCCCCGGGGTGCGAGATAGGACTCTTGTAGCGTGCCCCCATTTAAAACAATTATACAATAACAATTAACATTACATTTAATTAATAGTATGAATATATTAAAATTACTCTCATGTTACAGGAAAAAATATTATATATATATATAAATATATATATATATATATATATATATATATTATGAATCAATTGATTTGGTCGATCCAGTTCGATGGCACAAACACGGCACTACTGGACTTGGTCTTGTTGCTCTGTCGCCAGCAGTTTGAGGATATGACGCTACAAACTTGTTTTAAAATATAAGCGTTCTATGCTTCACATTGCTGTATCTTACTGTATAACACATAAAGAGTGAGTATGCTAAGGACCTTTGATGTGCACAGCTACTTTTTTCAATCCCCATTTGCCATTCTTTGAGATTAAAAATATTAAAAAAAGTCTGGATAAACTGTGTCATGTGTAAATGAGCCATAGACTTTCATCCCAAATAAAGTCCAAAACAGACTCACCGGACTACTACCCCCCGCCCCCAGGACATTTTCTGCTAATAAAATATGTATTTAGACAGCTTCCTCACTAGGACTAGGACACCTGTCCTTCTAAGATGACCAAAGGTAATTATATCTATTCAGGAACAATATATACAAAGTAAATAATCATTTGTTTTACTCACAAGAAAGAGATTAATTTTTGTTCCTTTTCATTTCATGGAAAGTAATCTCTTCTTTTGGATGTAATTTGGAGTATTATCTTTTAAATGGCGTTGGAATTTAACCTTTTCATTGTTTTTGGCCTGCAAATGGGACACAGTACCTTTAACAATTCAATGAGATATCATGAGCACAACGGTAGAAAGACTGTACTACCTCTATGATGCTTGCTTCCCGTAAGAGTGAGTTGGTGAAGCTGGATGGATCTTCAGGGGACTGCTTGGGTTTGTTCTCATCTTCTGGGAAGGCTTGCTGGAAGAAGGACAGTAGCTCTACTATAGTCTCTTGATTAGCTGGTCAGGAAGAAAACAAATTTAGAAATTCCCATAATGACTTTAAAGGTATAGACCAGTTCTGGTTATGCGATTGCATTGTAAAATTGATCAGAAAAGGTTGATCATCTAGCATATAAGTATTGGTGTGTACTGCAAGGTTCTGGAATCATCAAAATGATAAGAAATTTGGCCCAGTCTTGGTAAAGTTGCAAGCACTGTACACAGAAAGATGTATATGGGGCTACCCTATATCAATCCAGTCCGGATAGATATACTAATTTACCTTAATATATCAACTAGTATGCGGTTTCCCTGGCAAAATTTGTATCATCACGTATTAGTCAAAACATATTCTTTCACATGATTGGTAATAAGAGCTTCCATTTAATTTTTTGAGAGGGGGGTATTTCCAAAACTGGTCTTTACCTTTAAAAAAGCTAAACTTTCTTACGGCTCATCTCAGTTTTTTAAAACTTCACAAATCTACAAGCATTTTCCTGCTTTCCTTTGCTGTAATTGTTTGTGCTTGATTGTCTTTCTGATAATATATGAAATATAATGGGACCTATGAAAAAGGGTATCTCAATACTACAATTATATCTGAACACCAATTTTGCGGTGTTATACTTTATTACAAGACATTGTTTTTTAAAAGCTCAAGTACTGTCTTACCTATGACATCCAAGCTATTGACCTGAATGACAGCGACTTGCACGGGACCATCATTGTTGGTGTTTGATGGACGTTCAGCATTGATGAGCTGTAGTTCCACATGGATGAGCGCTTCCTTATCATTAACCACAGGGTCAAAGGGCGAGAGAGCAGGCGGGGCAAGGGATGACGCGCCTGATTGGTTACCTGCATGTACAGAACATCAAAGCATAGCACAATTAAATCAAGTGTGGAGTTCCACAGGGTTACCTTTTGGGTCCATTACTACTTTTTACCTACCTTTTTTTCCTGGGGGGGGGGGGGGGCTTTACATTTGTGATTAAAAAAAAAGCAGTGATATGCTCTATCTTCATGGTGATGAGAGGTTCACAATCCTCAATATTTTGCAATGATATAGATAAATAATAATAATTAATTAATAATACATACAAATAGTTACATTTGATTTTTAATGCAAAAGAGAAAATTGTGTAATTGTTGTGATATACACATTAAACAAAATACAAATAGGTTTTAAACTTGTTATTTAATAATGATTTTATATAATCTCTAAAGTTGTAGTAGATGTGTAGTTACATACACAAATCAATATATTTTAATCTACTCACCCCCTTTGCTATTGGCCCCCATCTGTCTAATGGCAGAGGCCAGTTCAGCATGTGAGGTTGGTTCCATCATCTTCTCTGCGGGGGAGGCAGGTGATCGAGGAGAGGTGGGTGATCGGAGGGACCTAGGAGTGGAGGCTTCGCTGTCCACGATGCTTCCACTAGGGGCATGCATGCTGTAGTGATATCAAAGAGAGAGAGAGAAAGAGAGAGATTGGAATTGGTTTCAAAAATTGTTCTTTTGTTTTGCTGTTTTTATTATTGTTTATTCATATATCATATATCATTTTGTATGATTCTTTTACTAGTTTTACTGTTTACGGTGGCTGCCCAGACAATTGAATTGAATTGAATTATGGGGTAGTACTGGAAGATTGAAAGGATGCGAGATATTAATCAGAAGTTTTTTTCACAAGATTGTTACATGTACAACTTCAGTCCCATACATTAAAAAAAAAAAAAAAATTATCCAGTTACATATCACTGTAAATTAAAAATCATTTGTATATATTTTGATTTGTGCATATTTCGCTACAACACTTATAGCCACACAAGCATGCATGTACAATAACTTACAGAGACATACAGACTGGAAGAAAGAAGGAAAGAAGGAGGAGTATTTTACCTGAGGTCCTTATGTGAGGCAAGAAGAAGCTCAAAGTCTGGTCCAAACTGCTGAAGGGCATCAATAACAAGTAGACTGTGAACACTGAGAGAGATGGAGGAATCAAAGGGACGCTTGACCAGGTCTGTCCGCACTCGAGATATCTGGAACTCGGATATACAACGTCCTGGGAGAGAGAGAGAGAGAGAGAGAGGAAGGTGAATGTCATATTATCTTACAAGAGACATGAGACTACATAATGTTAATAACAGTATACATGTTTATGTACAAAAAGTTGAATAATGTTCACTTCTATTAAAAGGTCATTATGGAGACCACCGTTAATATCATCACTTGTTGGTTGGCTGCACTACACACCCGTTTTTGTTCTTCTTTTGTATATAGACAATGTAACAAATGAATAATGAAAAAGGAACCTCATTCACAAGCATAATACTTTTAAGGTTTCCTCCTCACTACTGTAGATTAACTTAACATCCTTTGTATTTAATGACATGCATAAAATCGTTGTTATTGTTTTAATACCATCTATCTATCAAATATATTTATATGTTTTGTTACTTTGTATGTGCGTTACTTTGTAAATTCTTTTCCTAAGCAGTTAATATGGAAATATAACCTTTACAAAAAAGTGCTTGAGGAGAAATGAGACAAAAGTACGCTTTCAGAAGAAAAGTGTCACCATTTACTGCCCTTACAGCTAGTGCATGATATCTGTTTCATTCAACACAGGATAATAAAAATGTTCTGTGTAGCTACACAGGTAGCCTATATTTTTTTGTAAATGAATAAGCCTGACTGGAATGATTACCTCTGCTATGGATGGCTAGGGACATTTTGTCGACAGAAAACTGCATCTCCAGGAGCTTGGATTCCTCAAGTAAGGCTTGGGATTTCTGTTGTATGGTGGCCTCAAAATCTGATTGACTGTGGACAATAATGTTATACAGTTAAAGGGAAATCCAACCTTGATGACAAACTAATCAAATATGAGAAGTGCACTCATGAAGGTTTGAATGAAATCAGAAAAAAGGTGAAGAAATTCATGAAACAATTTTCTCATTTGTTCCAACACACAAAATGACTAACATGTCAGATTTCATAAATGTATTTCCCAGGAGGGTATTTTCTTTCTAGAGGACCTACATACTAATATGCTATCCATGCTGCGGGCACGTCAAGCTACTTTGCTTATTTCTGTAGTCCTCCTGCATCTAATGTATGTTAATTACGCATTCAATATATTTGTTTAATTTCGTTTATTATTTGTATAAAATTATATACACTTAAAATACTGTATATTATGTTCATGAAAATGTATGATGAAAAAAAAAAAAAAGATGCAGAAACCAATTAGTGTTCTCATATGTCAACAGCGAAAATGATCTTTGATTTTGGTGTGTAAAACCTTCCATTCAACAAAAATTCATTGAATGCATTAGAGTACTAAGGGAATTACATGTACATGTAATTGCAAACGTTGTTATGACTCTTGTGGAATGGCATTGCTGTACGAGAAAAAAAGTGATAATTATCACCTTGTATAATGTGCTCTACCCTGAGGCCCTGGATACTCGGTGTCGGAAGGAGGGGAATACCCTGCAGGGGAAACCCCTGATTGGTTGTTGGATCCAGACATGAGCTTCAAGCATTTATTCAGCGCTTGAATCTAAAACAGGCAACAAAATAATTAAAAATAGATATAACAAACATTCTCGTGATAGGAGTGAAAGCGAATATATAGGGATCATTTTTATATTAAGACTGAACAAAAATAGACAATCACATTTTCCCCTCATAACCCACTAAACATTAGTAATTTCTGTCTCCAACATCTATTTCTATGTGTATGCACAATGCACTCAAAACAAGATACATGTATTTTTATTTAATGTTATGTTTCCTGGGAGAAGTTTCAATTGTTGTAAAGAAATTTATGGCTTGCACCCACTTGTTTTTGAAAATAAGTCCGGAAAAATCAAGGAATCTGGGGGATATACAGTACATAAATATCATATTTTAAACAGTTCTTTGATAAAATCAAAAGAAAACAGACAAAGTTAAACTTTTTCAAGATGACGAGGTTATAACTTACCTTCTTCTCATTGATATGAATAGATAGACTTGGTAGATTCCCAGACATCAACATGCTCGGCCACTGAGGATCCTGCGTGAAGGTTAGACGGCGCTCAACTTTCACAGAGATGGAGAACTTATCTAGGACCTGGAAGGGACAGAGCCCTCTGGAGTGGGCTGTGCGCCAGTTCTCGGAGCCTTTGGCAACAAGGATCTGCAGATCTGACATGTCCAGTGTGTATCTGTTGGAAGGAAAAGGGATAGTTGATTGTTTGCTCATGTCGCAAATATCAATATACTCTTCAGGTGTCGAGACTTCACCTGAAAATCTATTGAAAGGATCATCAGATGCAACAAATTAGGCTACACTGTGTATTTCAAATTCAGAAATATTGAATTTTAAATTGGAATATATTTCAGGAGAAGTGCAATATGCCTAAAGGACCAACAGAGGGAGGGTCCATGAGTCCAAGGGGAAGAGTGTTAAATTTCATCTTCCTGATATCCCCATGATCAGGTGGAGGAGGAGGAAGAGGAGGAGGATGGTAATGATGACTATATGACTACAGCATTGGAAATGACAAATGATTTTAATGATAGTAATGATGATTGAGATGATTAAAATATCAAACATTGATGAAGATAATAATAATTATGAAGACGGAAATAGAGATGATGATGTTGATGAAGATAGTGATAATGAAAGTTATGACCAATATTGTAACAATATTGATGTTGATGAAAATAATCATGATGATGATGAAGGTGATGATGATATTGATGTTAAAAATGATAATGATAGTGATGTTAATGATGCTGATAATGGTGATGATGATGATGATGATGATGATGATGATGTTAAAAATGATAATGGTGATGTTGATGTTGATGATGATGATGATGATGATGATGTTGTTGATGATGATGATGATGATGATGATGGTGATGATGACACTGATGAAGAAGATGATGTTGATGCGATCAATGATGATCATGATGATTAATATATATTGATGCGTCTAATTGTAATGGTAATTAAGATGATAATAAAAGAAATTCTTCAGATCGCATCTTACCTGTCGTACATCCTATCCCTGAGAGCCTCGGCAGTGATGGCACTGTTATCAAAATCAGCTACATCAATCCCAGAGCTCGTTGTCATGGAATCTATTTTGGCATCGGTCGGCACAAAGTCCAATGCTTCGTGGGGTGGAGTCGACAGAGGAGTGAGGAAGTCATCATCTAAATCATCTGGAGAGATTTAAATGTGTTTTTTTATTTAGCTGGCAATTTAAGTTGAACTGAAAATGTTCATCAATGCATGGCTCATTCACATGACCTCTTCGACATTGCAAAGAAAATAACCAAAATACAATGCATTTTAAAGTCCCTCTGCACTATTTTGGCATGGATGGATTAGACCTCCCTGCAAGGTCACTGGCAGGTGGTTATCTCATCAAATCAGCTCTCAATTAACATAAGAAAAAGGGCATCATGGGGGATCAACAGGCACCGATTAGACATTGTTTGCTATGTACATGTAGAGGGCGCAAGTAGCTATAAGTAGTGCAGTGGGGCTTAATAAGATTTCTTCCTGTAGGTGAAGAGTCAGATATTGTACTAAAAAAAGAAAAAAAAATCACTTTCAAAAGTAAATCATCTGAGTCATCTGTACGTAAGCCACCTGCATGTAAAAGGGGAAGGCCTTTAAAGCCCCTCTGCACTAGTTTGGCCAGGAGGGATTAGACCTCCATGCATGGTCTCTGACAGGTGGTTTTCTCATCTAATCAGCTCTCAATTAACATAAGAAAAAGGGGATCATTGGGGATGAACAGGCAACGATTAGACATTGTTTGCTATATAGAGGGCGCAAGTAGCTATAAGTAGTGCGGTGGAGCTTTAAAGATGGTGTTTTTCTCACCTTCATCTCCTGGCGATGAGAGCTCTGCTTCATTCTCGCTCTTCTTAGAGCGACGTCCCTTGGCTGTCATGCTGAACAGCTGGAGTCTACCCAAGTCAAGAACAACCTACCAAATACAACACACATACAAAGCATATTAGAAAAACAATCTAAATGTAGCAATCCCAAACAAGCAAATTGTATTTGAATCTTGAAAATAAAAAATTCATCTGCTGACACCTGGAAGGGCATGAACTCATACTTTTAGACAAAGTTCTTGATCTCGATAGACAAGCTGAAAAATTGGTCTGACATCACTCTGATGTATACAAGTAGGTGATCAGAACTCCTGCAATAACCTGTAATGTTTACTACACTGTTTATATGACTATTAAAATCCCAACATGAAGATTTCAAGAGGTTCCCAGCATTTTGTCAAAAAAACCTGCTTTAATCCCCTGAAGATGTTTCAAAACTTAATGATCAGTATCTAACCAAAGCCATTTGGCTGAAGAGAGAGAAAAACAAGCATAACACTAATTTTAAAACAAAATTCATTTCAATCCAATAGCCTATCATCGAGTGGATATGCTCTTTAGACAAAATTTTTGTCTGCTTTTGGGGTCAATGAAATTCCTTGACATTACCTTGATTTTCAGCGAATATTCTCTGAATCATCCCTGACTGGATAAAAAGGAAACTCAATTTCAAGGTCTTTCCTCATTTCAAGGATAGCTACATTAGGAACCCTGATTTACAAGTGAGTTACAAGTGAGTTACATGTATATATTTTCACAACCAAATAATATTACAATTTCCGAACAAAATTTGATCGCACTCGGATTGCAGTCAGACCTGGATTATGCAGATGGCGTGCATCTCCACTACTGACATCACTTTGATGTATACAAGTATACTTTTGTTAATATCTTATGTTTATTCAGATACCCTAATTTATATACAAACCTCTTAACTGGGACCTACATAATACAAGCTTTGCTTTTTAGTAGATCCCCCACTATATTTAGCTTTTTGCAATGTATTTATCACACTTATGATTGTATCTTTTGTTATAACTATCACCATGTACATTATGTTTCTATATTGTATGTTTAGCTATAATTATTACCTCGTTCATTATGTTCAATTATGTTATCTTTGTGGAAATAAATAAAATTGAAACTACTCACCAGTGTGGCATCCTTGTTGTGGAAGTTGTCTGGGATGATGATGAGAGGGGCCGAGATGTCAAAGTGAATATCCCATCTCTTAACTTCAGAAGTCTATAAAGAACAAAATAAAACAAAAAGTTGTAAGGAGAAATCATAATCAAACATAATTATGTCCCTTGACATATGAAGATATGATTTGCAAAGTAGCTTCACAATTATCCCCTTATATACAGTGTATAGACATTGACATGTCTTTGACATATTACCAAGCTGACCATCATTGTAGAAGCATAACTTTATTTAAGCAAGGGGGTTGTGTCATTCTGTCAGAAAAAGCTGAACTCAAACTGCAGCAAAATAAAATTTACCACACATCAAGGTAAATTTCAAACAAAACCTACATGTGTGAATGTTTTTTAACGGACTTGCTGAAAAACAGCCTTGTGGCTGATAGCAGGTTTTAATCGTGGATAAATAAATAATTTATAAACAAACAAACATGTCTGTAGTAAAGGTAAACATGTATTGTACTTTAGAAATACTTTAGCTGTTCTCCCCCCCCCCCTCCCAATCTCTCTCTCTCTCTCTTTCTCTTTCTCTCTCTACCTCATCTCAATTTCTTTTTCTCCTAGCAATCGTAAAGCACAAGTCTGCAGAAGAACAGTCATTTGAAAAATGTCCTTTAAAGCCTGTCTGCACTAGTTTGGCCAGGAGAGATTAGACCTCCCTGCATGGACACTGACAGGTGGTTTTCTCTTCAAATAAGCTCTTAATTAAGAAAACAGGGATCATGGGGGACCACTGGGTACCGCTTAGGCATTGTTTGCTATATAGAGGGTACAAGTACATGTAGCTACAAGTAGTGCAGTCCCGCTTTAAGAATAAAATAAACAAGCAAACAAACCTGCTTCTCTCCTTCTAGCAGTGAGTCCACGGTCGAGGCAAGCTCTTGTTTGGTCTGAATCTTCAGCTCCTCGTACCTCATTCGAGCAGCCTTAGTCAGCTGGAGCTCAGAGGCTCTTGAACTGAGGCCCTTGCTGCCTCTGCCTTCAGCCTTGAAGAAGTTGGAGACTCTGTCCATTGCTGTCGGGTTGTAGACAATGTCAAGGGGTCTGCTGATGATTTCAAGTCTGGAAGAAAATTTGGAAAATGACTAAGGTAGTTTCAGAGGACTTTGGACACCATTAAAGGCATCATTTTGTGTATGACATTATTCAGCAAAACTTTTGAAATACAACTGGATACCAGTACAAGTATGTTGCTTCAAAAATGTAATTGGGACTCAGTGTTTTTTGTTTTTTTAATCACCTTACAAGCAGCATACTTCAAAATAAATGTTGCCCTTACAATGCGTCCAAGAGATAAAATATTACCTGCCCTAATTCTACTTTTATTTGATCTTTCACATGAAAAAGGATGTGCGCTAGCATTAAAGCTGCATGCATCACAAGTATATAACTCTAATGGGCATGCAAGCAGTAAGAGCTCGGGATGAAATGACTGATTAAATCTGAGATAAAAAATTGGTCTCAGAATACTGATTACTTTATAAAGATGAAGGATTAGGCACTTATTACTTACAACAATTGATAACAAAATATCCCCCTGCAAGAAACCTTCGCTCTCAGTCAAAATCCTTCTTAATTCCTCCCTCAATATCAACAAATTTCTATGGTGCGAGATCCTTTCAATTGGCAGCGGCAGAGTTATGGAATAAATTACCTAGTCATCTTAAGCAGGTTGATAAAGTAGAAAACTTCAAGAGTCTCTTAAAGACACGTTTATTCATTTGTTAAATTAGTACAATGTCATGACAAAGCAATTATTCTTTCTCTTCTCTTCCCTAATGTCTGCTATTATCCCTTCTTTTTTTTCTTCTGAGTGCATAGGGACTTAAGTTTATTTTTGTGATATCGTAATTAACATTGACTCACCACTCGGAAACTAGAACAACACTCAAATTTGTCTGTCATCTTGGTTTGAAAGTAATCTTTCTGATAGATCTCAAAATGTAGTTTATAATAATAATTCCTCCAATTTTTCTTCTATTACACATGGCGTACCACAAGGTTCTATCCTAGGTCCTCTACTGTTTTTTAATTTACATTAACGATCTTACACATTCAACTGCACCTCGCAGTTAAATGAAAGGCCTCTTTTTTTTAGGGCGAAAAAGAGGGGTGCGGTTAATACACGAGGGCAGTTTATACAACGTTAATTACGGTATGCGCTTTATAAGAGTGGTTTATTATTATTTTTATTAATCCAATCTTTTACCTAGAATCAGCATTTGAATGAGGTGGATTTGATTCATAGGACATCTCAAAGAGCGGGAGGTCTGATGAAGGCTGCTTGATGTTCGTACCGGAGGAACTGGGCGACATGTAGGAGAAGCTGGCAGATGCGGAGCGTGAGAGGAGCAGAGAGTGGGACTGTCTTGGTCCTAGCGTTTGCTCCTCCTGGTAACGGGAAACAAAATAGAAATTAAATAATTGATAATAATGACACTGAAACTAATAACATGTTACAGTGTGTACAGGTACATGTACAGACCCTCTTTCTACCCATAAAGGGTACTGGGCACACAAAATGACAAAAGTCTCCCATCTTCATCTGCCCACTACCACAATAATGAGCAGAACTTGAATTCCTATAGGCCTAGGCATGTATAGAGATAATTATTAGTTACTGATATGAAAAACAAAAATGGATAGCAAGTTATGGGAATTTCGTTATGAATGCTAACATTCAATTTACTCATCTTCCTTTGCATCAGAATTTTTAACATCATTTGATAACATCTGCAAAGAGGGAAAATGGGATTAACTCTGAGGAAACTGATGAGTAATAATATTTCTGGCTCCCTGCAAAAAAAAAACCATTGAACTTGTAAAGACACCCTACCCTCTTTTGCTGTGGAGCTACCAGGTGTGGGAACAGCGAACCCTTCGTCATGACATCATGGATGAACAGCGCCCCCAACTTTGCAGTGAAGAGGAAGGAGCTCGTCCGCAGCCTCCACTCAAAGCTCATCTTGACGCTGGCGAACTCCAGCTCGATGATGGTCTCGTTCTCGTTTCCCCCCGGGTCTCCCGGCGGGCTGGTACCAGGATCCAGATGAGATGAAGGGTGCATTGAGGTGGCAGGGGGTGCCGACTTGGAAGGGGTTATCAGGCCGGAAGGGGTTCTGGTGGTGGGTGTGGTACTGCCAAGGTCATTGTTGGTACAGAGCTTGATTGAGCCGCCCTGGAGCTTGAAGTTGAGGAGCGCGAAGACGTGGTCCCTTCGGAGGAGGTTGTTGTCTGCTGATGGGTCACCAAGTACATCCAACAATTCTTGCTCCTCTGTGTTTGTTCAAGGTATATAGACATGGTATGGAATATTTGATTAAACTTATCAAAAAAATCATAAAAGAGTTTTTAAATGAATTATCATTTCTGAGAACTCTGTTACACCAGTATGTACATGCATACAGCATGGTTAGGGGCTGTGCCTTCATATTCTGTCATCTACAAAGAATATGAACAGTTTTTAAATATTTTTTTTTAATGAACATTGCTCTTTAGGTCGTAAACCTGAATTTGATTCTAATCTGCTGAATTTGTCTCCACCTCTCAGTATATGTTATAAAAAGTCATTTCTCTTCAAAAACTTTTAAACAGTATTCACAAAATTCATATGTAACATTTTCCTCAAAACATGAATTTTATATTCATAACATATTTACAAGATAAGATTTTATATTTAATGACTCAACATAAACAATGGCCTGTTGAACATGCAACGTCTAAGTCGTAAAATCGACTGGATTATTGTGCGTTAAAAAAAAATATTCATATAACCGAACAAGAAAGAGGTATGGTGAGGAGACACCGCACTTCTGATTTTATCTCCTTTATTTTAATATTTCTTTGGTTTGAATAAAGAATATATTTATAAATATTTATTCTTGAGAACCTACATGTACATGTACAAAAAACAAATTATGCTTTCCAGTAGGTTCCCGTTTCATTTCATAATTATGAACTTACTTTGTCAACTATGTTCTTGTACTGTGCAAACAATTGATATGTAATAAAATAAATTCGAATCAATCAATCAATCAATCAAAAGCATTTGTTTCTCTCACCTTCAACATCGATGAGTGGTGGTGGTGAGGGGGAGCGTCTGCTACCGGCCCCAGAGGGCGTGTCATCAACGCTGCTCTCTGTGCCACCTTCAGCACCCCCCTTCTGTGAGTACCAGCCGCTCCATCCCCACACCCAGCGCTGCATGATGCCCCCCTGCTGGGCCTCCTCAGGCTTCTTAAAGATCTCCTGTAACCAAGGTAACAGAATGCCATCAAATATTATCTCAGAGAAATCGAAAGGATACACAGAAATAGAGAGTAATAAAGAAAAAAATAGACAGATTAAATACTGTACAATGGAGTAGAAACAATAAAACAAGGAAAATATGGCATCACTATTTGCTCCCTCTATATAGAAAACAATGCCTAAGCGGTCCCTGTTGGTCCCCCATGATCCTATTTTTCTTATATTGACTGAGAGCTTATTTGATGGGATAACCACCTGTCAGTGACGGCGCAGGGAGGTCTTATCCCTCCTGGCCAAACTAGTGCAGTGGGGCTTTATTATCAATGCTATAAAGTAATGGACTAAGTTACCTCTCCACCCCGTATTCTCTTCTCCAGCTGGTTAAAGACCACGTTCCTTAGAATCCTGATCTCTTCAAATGACAGCTCCTTTTCAAACTCTTTCATCACAATCTGTAATTAATTAAAAAAAGAAGCATTGATAACTAGTACAGATATAAAATTCTTCCTTCTGTGATAATGGTAGAGAAATATGAACATACGCATGACATACATATATACACATAATTGTTTTGTAATATTGAGACAATCAGGATCATTCATTGAGCAGCTGTACATGTATATCATGCCAACAAGATCATACCCAAACATTTACCAAATGGACTACGATATAAAAAAGATTACATTCATTTACAAGTATGTTGATTACTGTAATACTTTTTGTAATATGTTTAAAACGATTATAACAGTTGATTATTCTTCCTACTGTATAAACATGTATATTACATGTACCTATGTTGATTCATGATGTTACATGTATTATAGTTTCTGGGAAAAGACTGCACATTACACAAAATAAAAAAACATAACCAGTCATCCATTTCCCACACTCATATTTCACTAGTATGCTTATGAACATGCATCACATTATAATATGAAATCAGTCACCCTTCATGTGAAATACAAAATGCTTACCAAGCATCAAAACATACCTGCCAACCTTTCAAAGTAAAAAATAGGAATCCCTCAATGCAATTTAAGGAATATACTGTACTCATTTGTATACTTTTTACACAGAAGTTTTCAGAAAATCAAGGAATGTAGGATTCATAAGATAAGTTTGAAGGCCCAAAAACTAGGAATCATTCCTCCAAAATAGAGAGAGTAGAAGGGGAGTTAGAGAAAAGGAGAGTTCAAAAACAGGGAATCGAGAGGAGGAAATTGGAAAGACGAAGTGAGAAGTAGATGAGGGAGACTGAGACAGGAAGGGAAAGATAGAAAGAGAGAGAGAGAAGGACAGAGACAGGGAGGGAAAGATAGAAAGAGAGAGAGAAACAGTCGGCAGCTATGAAGCAAATGTGACAAAATAAAAAGAGAAGATCATACCATGAGTGGTGCAGGGTCTACGTCCTTCGCCTCTAGGAATCTAGTATAGACTGCAGTGTATTGTTTGTTGAGGCTGATCCGCTCTGAGATGAACTTGGGTGTTCTTCTGCGTCTGCGGTCCTTGATGCCATGTAGGACACTGTTGATGGCAAACTGCCACCACTTTCTGATACTGGAGGGAAAGAAGAGAGAAATGGTGTCTCATTATTAAGTTGTTGTTGCTAGTTTTCCATTCCATGTATGACTCTGCTCCTTCCTACAATATGAAGTTGATTGTTAAGTATAAGCCTAGAACATCTTCGTTCATCTCAATCCTTCTTATCAGTTGTCCCTAAGACGCGCAGTTCCTGGGGGGATAGAGCCTTTTCTCATTCTGGTCCGTCCCCTTGGAATAAGCTACCGCTTAGTATTTGTAGCTTAACAGCCCTCAATGACTTCTAAACATCTCTTCCTAAACAGTGCTATTTAATTATGACAATTATAATTGTGGCGTAATAATTTGTGTTCATTTATTTTACCTTTACTTTAGTTAAGAAAGTGATATGTTTGTGATTGTAATATGTACAGAGCCATGAACGTCAGAGCCTGGCAGATACCGGTGCTATATAAATATCCATATTATTAGTACCGGTAGTAGTATTATTATTTTATGTGGTTTCATTATGTAATGTTATATGGAGCGGTAAAGAAAACCTTAGGGTTATATTTATTTAGTTTGTCCTTTTCTTTTCCAGATATCCATATGACTCTCTTAAAATTCTACTATTGTTTTGTACTTGATGTTTCTGCTTCAGTGTTTGCTAAATGAATAAAATCCAGAGGAAAAAACTACTGATAACTACCGATAACAAATATATGCATCAGCTCAAGTACTTTTTTACCTCCTCTTATGAAAGATAATGCAGTGTTGGTAAAACTTAAAGGGGATGGAAATAAATGTAATTGATTATCTCAACGCTGGCTACATCAACAAGAGTTCAACACGCCATCAGAAGTTTGCCCTTAGAAATTCCATTGTTAACTTTGATTTTAGAATTCAATCGTCACTGATTATCACACTAATAATCTTATGTGTTGGTTGATTAGCTTAAGTATGCATTTCTCACAATAAAATCGTTTCCGAATTTACAATTCACAAATGTTGAGTATTGTTGATGAGCTACATTGCAAGTGAATATCTCCCAAATAATTTGTTTCTTAGATTTCTGAGTGTATAGATAAGTTTTGATTCACGTTGACATGTTAACAATATAAAAAGTTAGAAAATCACAAATGTAGGAGTGTCGTGGCCGAGTGATTTAAGGCGCTTGACTGGAAATGCGAAGGTCGAGTGTTCAAAGCCCGACACGGCGCTAATATCCTTAGGCAAGACATTAACCTGCACTTGCTACTCTCCACACAGGTGTTAAATGGGTTTCCCGGTAGGATGCGACCGTCATCGTTGGTCAAACAGTTTTTGAGCATCAAGTAACGGCTGGCTGGAATGCTCCCCAGGGAGGGGAGATTGTGCACACATTGTATGTTGGCAAGTATCAAATCCAATAACCGGGGTAATAGTATATCTGTAAAGCGCTTAGAGACATTTGCATTATTAAAGAGCTATATAAAAGCGAAATATTATTAAAGGAGAATGATGTATCTAAAGGGGGGGGGGCTACAAACCTCTCCTTTTCGCCAGTCCAGGCTTCCGGCCTCCACTTCCTGTAATGCCTTGCTTTGCCGTTGCGCTCAAACTCCTTCATGAGCACGGTGATACCTCGGTACTGATCCTCGGAGAGAGACAGAGGGATCTTCTGAAGCGTCAGGTCGCAGACGTAGCGGGGCGTGGTGCGAGATCGCAGGGGGAGGGCCGAACCGTTCCGCTTCAGTCTGGCTTCAGCACTCACCGGTTCCACCATGTAGTCATGGTTCTGCACGTACATGGGATACAGTAAATAATCAACAATAAGCAATCATAATTCAATTCAATTCAATTCAAATGAACATTTATTTTCTTCCATTCAATTTGACAACATATTTGACATCTGTTCAAACATGTGTCAAAATATGGATTCTTCATCCGAATTTCAACGAGAGGCAAATAAGTTTTTAACTTTAAATGCCTACTTCCAAGGTATATTTCCAAGGTATATAATATAATTTATACGTAGGAACATAAATATAGTTAAAGAACTTGTATTACACGGAAGAAGGCACAAATCTTGATAAGCAAAGCTTGTAATGGGTACGCCCGAATAATGTACATGTACATCAATTTTTATAACAGACAGGCCTACCATAAACAGTTATTCCTTCTCCAAGAATTACTGTACACATACCTGCCAACCTTTCACAGCAAAAATTAGGAATCAATGAAATGGGTCTCTGTAAATATTTTGAATTACCGTATGTATGGTCCATAGTGGACTTTTGGAGGACCGTGCATTCCTGACCATGTTAAGCCTCATTCACACATGACGCGGCAAAACCAAAAAGGCATATTTTTTTTTTTTTATGATGGCGTAAAGTGTGATATCGTTTTACATATCTGTATCTTAAAACACAGAACTTGTTGAAAACGCTTAGGACCTTTGGTACCTTCAGTTGCTATACATTTGCACATACAAAACCATGGTATTTTCTTTGCGACGATTTACCGCGTCATATCTGAACGAGCCTTCCGTGTTAAGCCCCGCCTCTAAGGCAAGGAAGCAGTCAAGGCATCCTACTACAGCCAAACCTGTCTATAGCGACCTCCTAAGGGAAACACAAAAAGTGGTCTTTGTAGACAGGTTCCTTTAGCACATGTTCCAATGATAAACCATTTTCAAAGGAAATAAAAATTGTGGTCTTTGTAGACAGGTGGTAACTAAAGCAAGCTAGACTGTAATGTCCATCCTACCTTGATCTGGTTTTCAGTTGTACGGCACTTTTCGCTCATCAGAGCATCCTGCGAAAGAAAAAAGATCACAATATTTTAATAACACATTATTAGAGGATACTGAGGAAAAAGAAGGAAAAAGATAAGATCAATGAATAAAAGTAGAGTTGACTAGTGGGAAATGACATGATGTAGTAATCTCCAGAGTGTTTTGGACGGGTAACTGTTAGAGTAGTAATGGCCAATGGTTGGGTGATTATTTGGTCAGAATCTGTCAATTGGTATTGTTTGGTCAGAATCTGTCAATTGGTATTGTTTGGTCAGAATCTGTCCATGTGGTATCGCGTGGTCAGAAGCTGTCTATTGGTCTTGTTTGGTCAGAATCTGTCCACATGGTATCGTTTGGTCAAAAACTGTCTATTGGTTTTGTTTGGTCAGAATCTGTCCACATGGTAATGCGTGGTCAGAAGATGTCCACATGGTATCGTTTGGTCAGAAGCTGTCTGTTGGTCTTGTTTGGTCAGAATCTGTCCACATGGTATCGCGTGGTCAGAAGATGTCCACATGGTATCGTTTGGTATCGTTTGGTCAGAAGCTGTCTATTGGTCTTGTTTGGTCAGAATCTGTCCACATGGTATTGCGTGGTCAGAAGATGTCCACATGGTATCCTTTGGTCAGAAGCTGTCTATTGGTATTATTTGGTCATCTCCAGAGTGTTTTGGACGGTAACTGTTGGAGTAGTAATGGCCAATGGTTGGGTGATTATTTGGTCAGAAGCTGTCCATGGGGTACCGTGTGGTCAGAATCTGTCCATGTGGTATTGACCCAAGGATAAATGCAGTTGTCTAAAACATTATGTTATCTGAAACGAGCAAGAGAAGGGGTAATAGTCTTGGTCCCTCTCTTATAAACAGCTGCAAATGATTCACGTATCGTTCGCAACTTGATATCGTTGCAAGTCTTTAAAAATAAAGTAGAGATTTGCAAGTTTGGGATTTATTCAAGGACTTACAATCAAACCCATAAAAATCACACGTCTATAAGAAAGACTCAGAGTCTGCACTCCTCTGATTGCCCATCAACTTTAAAACCCTTCTGCACTAGTTTAGCCAGGGGATTAGACCTCCCTGCAAGATCACTGACAGGTGTTTATCTCATCAAATCCGCTCTCAATTAACATAAGAAAAAGAGGATCATGGGGACCAACGGGCACCGATTAAGCATTGTTAGTAATGTAGAGGGAGCAAGTAGCTGTAAGTAGGACAGTGGGGCTTTAAGACTTACCCGGAGATCTGTAAGATCAAAGTCTGAGACTGGAGCAGAGTCTGCATCCCAATAGATGGCAAAGTTCTCTAAGCGGACAAGCTTGAACTTCATACCTCCTGTAGCCTTCTCTCCACCAGTCTGTCTGGGTGACTGCAGGGATGAAAAGACACAAGAATAAATTGCATTATAATATATTCATCATGGGTAGACTGACATGGTATGGTTGTGTGGTTGGTAAAGAGGAGAACCAATGGGTACAGAAAGCCATTCATTCTGTACCGTAAGTCATTAAAACCAGTTCCACCACAAATCCAAAAGATCTTTACATGTCACAGCTCGATGTCACGTCCGAGGATGGTGTCTGAACTAAAAACATTGAAACTGTCACAGGTCAAAATATTTTGATGAATCATAGAACTGATTCCTTGCTTGTTAACATGCTTGTTATCAATGATGGCAAAACTGAAATGCTTCATCTAACATCATCCAGGAAGCGTGGCTCAAATCAGGAACTGTCTCCACTCACGGTTGGTGACACCAGCATTTCTAGCAGCACAACTGTTCGAGACCTTGGAGTTGTGCTCGATAATCACTGAACTCTACGTCAAAATGTGAACTCCATCTGTCGGAATGCATCCCTATCTCTCTACAAAATCGGAAAGATAAGAAATCTCCTCGACAATCACACAACTGAGATCCTTGTCCACTCCTTCGTCACCTCTCTTCTCGATTCTTGTAATTGTCTCCTCATAAATCTCCCCAATAAAGACATCGCCAAGCTTCAGCGAATTCAAAATTCAGCTGCCAGACTAGTTTCCAAATTACCAAGGCAAGAGCACATCACTCCCACTCTTCAGGAACTCCATTGGCTGCCCGTATCCCAGAGAATCCAGTACAAAGTCATCACTCTAACTTTCAAAGCACTTCATCAACTCTGTCCAAGCTACATATCTGAACTTGTTACACCTTACATACCCACTCGATCCCTCCGCTCTGCATCTCAACACCTAATTGAACCCACGAAAGACAGGACCAAGTCATACGGATGCAGAAGATTCTTATCTGCAGCTTCGCATCTCTGGAACTCTCTCCCCACTACTTTCCGAACCATCACAGACTTAGCTTTCTTTCAATCTCAACTAAAAACCTACCTGTTTAAAAACGCTTTCTAATGTCATTTAAACTGTATTATTGTATTCATCAAAATTTAATTACATTACTGTACTCTTATATAATTTGCCTTCATTTCTGTGTTATGGGTGTATATAATGTTTGATTATTATTAATCTTTTCCTTATTTTGATATATATCTTTAGTTCATGAATTAGTTGTTATGTGTAATTTTGTAAAGCGCATTGCTATTTTCTTCGAAGATGAAATGCGCTATATAAGTCTAGGTTATTATTATTATTATTATTAATCATAAAAAAAAGAATAAACAAGGGAAACGCTCTCAGCGGTCTCGTCTGCATTATGCAATTCGATATGATGAAAAATTGAGGTGGGGACATTGTTTATAGGCAAAGTAGCCCATTAGCAGGCCCCCAAAATGAAATCCTCTGAATATAATCAGCATTTTGAGGTGAATATTGACTAAGAAACATCAGAAGAATTATTTACTATAATTTGTACCAAGATTGATAACTTTAATGGAATATAAACAAATAACAAGGATTGATTTATTAATTCTCATATTAAGTTGTGGAAACATAATCCAAGTCTACTGACCTAAAATGACCTTTGACCTTGACTTTGTGACCTTAAATTTGTGTCATATGATTTGTGATACTTGATAACCCTTGTGTACAAGTTTCATGGAATTTGAACTCATAATTTTGAAATTATGCTACAAATTCAAAATCTTGATGTTGATGCCACAACAAAGTCTAAGTTTGCAGAGCTGAAATTACATTTTACCTTGACTTTGTCACCTAAAAGACTAATCACATGATTGATGATGCTTAATGTTCAACTTTCATGGAATGGGAATGTGTACTTTTAAAATTATGATAAAAATTTAAAATCTTAACCTTTGGTTAAGTTTTGATGTTGATGCCACAAAATAGTCTAAGTTTGTGGACCAGAAATGACCTTTGACCTTAACTTAGTTACCTAAATTCTACTCATATGATTGTGGATACTTGATAACCCTTTATGGCACAGTCACACGGCCACTTACGGTAGCTGCGGATGCTTACGGATAAAAGTCCGTAAGCATCCGCAAGGATCCGTATCATCCGTAAGCATCCGTATCCATCCGTAATTCAATCCGCAGGATCCGCAGACATACGCAGATCCGCAGCGGAATTTTGAAAATCTCAAAATTTTGCTGCGGATGAAATATACGTAAGCATCCGCAGAATATACGTTATCCATACGTAAAATACGTTATCCAAATATACGCAGGCATCCGCAGGTCCGTAACATGGCCGTGTGACTGTAGCATATGTCTAAGTTTCATTGATTAAGAACTTATACTTTCAAAATTAAACTAAAAATTCAAAAAATTAACCTTAGGTTAAGTTTTTGATGTTGACGCCGTCGCCGCCATTACCGGAAAAGCGGCGCCTATGTCTCGCTTTTTGCTACGCAGGCGAGACAAAAACTTAACTATACGTCAATTGATCCCGATGACCTTTGACAAAGTACAGTAACCCAAAATTAAATGAGGTAATTTAGCTACTGTGATACATTCCTTGTAGCACATGAATTGCTTTTGATAATGTTAACAGCAGATGTTAAGGGCTTGAGTATCATTTTCATCACGGAAGTGAAACATCGTGGGGCAGCCATTATTACATATTCCTCTATGGCTAACGAAAGTGAAAATAGATATTTATAAGTACACTTTTTTATTTTATGAGGTAGGATGATTAATTTCAATGAAACAAAGTTGTTGCATGGCTCTAATGACTTTGGTTCCGTCATCATTATCCGGATACTGGACAATGCAAATTCGTCTGAAATATGGATATATCTCACACAGGAGTTTCATAATGGTTGACAAGGCTAAGTGCCCATCATTTGCCAACGGTACAATCTACAGTGGACAATCATTTATAAGGAACCACCTACTCTAAATCTTGCACATGTTTAAGGATTTTGTGGAAGCCATTATTAATTGATGGAAACAGATGTGCCTTTTATACAGGCAAGCAAAGGATTCATAAAACTATTAGACTGATGTAGTCACACAAGGCCCTAGAGATATTGCACTTTACTAAACTTTGAAGATGTTCAAGGGATTGTTTTTCTTCAGTTGCAGCTCTTAAGATATGGTAATCTGAAATGCTGGATATCTTGTGGAAATCATAAAGTGACAAAAGCAAACGTGCCCTTCAACAAACATTGATGAGACTAAAAGATTGCTGCATGAACAAAGGAGGCCGAGACATGTAATTGTTGCAGTTAATAGTCTTCAAGAGAATTTCTTCTAATTGACAGAAATAAACTAGCGCTTAGATACAAAGATTAATGGGACCATCTGACTGCTGTGAATGAAGACGAAGGGTTATTCCAAGAAGGTGAGATCTTCAAAATCTTGAAGGGTACGTCATCTGTAGTAGAGGCCCCAAAGAGATTACAATCTTTCTACGGTGATCTTGTGCGAATCACTCATTCACAGAAATTGGCCATAACGTGAAACATTTACAGGAATATTTTACTGCAGTGAGGTGGGCTAAAGAGATATTTTGGATAGTGAGACTTTAAAAATTTCCAAGGGAATTTCTTATAGAGTAGTGACATCCAAGAGATCACAATGTTCAAGTCAAGGATGACTTGTACAACCTCAAGGATTCCTCTCTACTTGTGGATTGCATGTGTTTTATCCTTGCTATCTGGAGTATTGCCTGGGAATGGCATAGCGGGCAAGGATGAAAATTGGAGCTCTGTCTCCCCCAGTGGCTGCCAGCTCACGAATACCAGCCTTGGTACCAGAGCTATGTGTACTCGTCTGGGTCTTTGGTCTGTTCCTCAGGATCTTCCAAGCAACACAACAGTATTTGATCTCTCCATTAACCTGATAATAACCCTGTACAATGAGTCTTTTTCCTATCTCCCAGACATTGTCACACTTGCACTCGGAAGAAATCAAATATCGGTGATAGAAGACGGTGTCTTTGAGCATTTGGGTAATCTCAAACAATTAATCCTAGAGAGAAACCGCCTAATGTCTCTTCCAGCAGGTTTACTTAGTTCAAATAGACTTCTCTCTGTGCTCCACCTCGGTAGCAACAATTTGAGTTCTATTCCAACAGATGCTTTGCCCTGGTCTGATAATATCAGTTTGTTTGATCTGACCAACAATACCATCTCCTTCATAAGACCCGTAGACTTCACACCCCTTCAGAACTGTCCATCGATACGACTATATCTCGGCAACAATGCATTAACAAATCTTCCATCAAATGCTTTCTCAGCTTTGAATAAAGTCAACGAGTTGACTCTTTCAAAGAATACTTTTCAGGAATTTCATATCTCTTCTATTTTAGGAATAAATGAAATTGATAAACTGTCCTTGAAAGAATGCAATATACATTGTGTAATTCCACTGAACCAAACTCATAACCATTTTGATGGTTCCCCCAAGATTTATTTCATAGATCTCCGAGTTAACATGCTGAGCTCCTTCCCAGATTTTGTGTTTTGGGGTTTGAATCAGACAAGTATTATATTACTTCAGCACAATCAAATCAATGTTTTATCAAACAAGACTTTTTGTGGACTAGACCAGCTGGTTGAATTAGATCTATCCTATAATGGCTTAACTTCCTTACCCCTAGGCATGTTCTCCTGCAATAAAAGGCTACAGCGATTGATGCTTGCTGGAAATCATATTGCAAGCTGGTCCATTGGTACATTATCTAATCTATCCTCTATTAACCACCTAGACCTGGCTTATAACAATATCAAGTATATTGAGAGAAAAAACACCATTACATTTCCTTCCCTAGCATATCTGGATCTTTCTTTCAACAAATTCACAAAGATCACAAAGTATTTTCTATGGGGTTTCCCTAATCTCAAAATACTAAACATGTCTCACAATGAAATCAAAGATACCTATTCTCCAAATGCCTTCACGAAGCTGAAGATCCTTAAAGAGCTTTATCTCACCAATGAACCTCACCAAGACATCAATGGAGCTT